TCAATGATGTTATAAACAAACTTTATCGAAAAGATTTAATCAGGTTGAACAAAGTTTTTTGTGAGTTTACATCGAAAATTTCATAAAAATTTAGGCAGTTAATCACAAGAATGTACTTGCACTTAATCTTTTCAGTAATCATTTAACATTAGTCAGAACGTTCTTGTATCTGAATCTTTATGTGAATGCTAGCATTGGCTTGACAAATTAAACAAATGTAGGCATAGTGAAAGCTAAAGTGGCTCATGGCAATCTAGGAGCCTTCTTACTGTTATTCTAGTTGTAAAAGGTCGATTCTACAACTAGTTAGTGTAAGCCATTTCGCCGTATGTCATTGCAACATTACCCCATCGAGCTGAGTATGTTCGGAAAACATTTTCGTTCAATTATCTTTGTCTCCGAAGGATTCGTAATATCCAGTAGCAAAAACAAGTTATTAATGGTAAACTTTGGAAATATGTCTTCGGATACAGGAAAGAAAATTTATTTGGTACCACCATTGTGAAACACTGGATTCTGTGACTTGGACATGTTTTATGAACATCATCTCAGGTACCTCTTCATCGTAAATTATCTGTCAACACTGAGACTAGTCGAAAGAAGAAAATAGATAATTCGACTATAACATAGCACCATTGTATGAAATAATACTATATCGAACGTTCAATCTCGCTATCCATTACCAATTCCTGATGGATATCTTTTAAGTGGTATAACGACATGGTTTGAGATATTATCAAACTTGATCCAGAATAAAAGCAATGGTGTTTCTGATGTAGTTTTCTTTTACATTCATTACAAAAGTTAGGAAAACTCGCTCAATTGAGAGATATCTTTCTTGGTCATATTTAAAATCTAATGGTATCTCTTATTATATACTATTTTCACTCACCTATCACTGTCCTCTCCTTTAATTTTACTAAGCATTCCTCTTTTTTTTTATCTATGTCACGCATATGTTTCTGATGTTTAGTTATAATAGAATATATATATATATATATATATTCATTGAAGTTCAATAGCTTTCTCATTAAAACCAGTTCATGATAGTTCAAATATCTCATTTTACAAAATTAAACAATCTCCATACAAACTACTCATAATAAATTAACATACATATGTAGTAGTCATCAAAAGTAATTCATAGTTTACCCTTTAAAAAAGATTCTAATCGAATAATTAAAAATAGAACTATAGAGAAACGAACACGAAAATATTGAATATTTGAATTATCTATTCAATGTAAATGTGTACATTTGTATTAATTGATTAGTTAATTGGTCAGTTAGTTACTTGGTGGAGATTTAAAAAATGTAAAAGCCTTTACATATCTGGGCAGCATCATTGGTGAACACGGTGGATCTGATGCAGATGTGAAAGCGCGGATCGGAAAAGCAAGAGCAGCATATTTACAACTGAAGAACATCTGGAACTTAAAACAACTGTCAACCAACACCAAGGTCAAGATTTTCAATACAAATGTCAATATAGTTCTACTGTATGGGGCGGAAACCAGGAGAACTACGAAAGCCATCATCCAGAAGATACAGGTGTTTATTAACAGCTGTCTACGCAAAATACATCGGATCCGTTGGCCAGAACAAACTGAATTCAGGTGGAGGAAGAAATTAGGTAGAAGCGCTAGAAGTGGATAGGACACACATTGAGGAAAGCACCCAACTGTGTCACAAGACAACCACTTACATGAAATCCTGAATGCCAAAAGAGGAGAGGAAGACCAAAGAACATATTACGTCGAGAAATGGAGACAGACGTGAGAAAAATGAACAAAAATTGCATATAACTAGAAAGGGAGGCCCAGGACAGAGTGGGATGGAGAATGCTGGTCGGCGGCCTATGTTCCATTGGCAGTAACAGGCATAAATAAGTAAGTAAGTAAGTTACTAAATCATAAAGAACATAGAACCTGAAATATGTACGTTTGTATTAGTGTAAATTGTCACACACACACACACCATATCAGCACACTGAAATGAAATACTTATTAACTAATTGAGAGAATGCATGTAAAAGACTTGTATTGTTTAGAAATTTAGGCAAGGTGAATAAGGGAATAGGAAACTATTTATTCACCTAAAGATTTGTTATCTCTACATAAATGTCTTTTTATCATTATCATTATTTATAAGGCGAAAAAAGAGTCAAATAGTATCAGTTTAGATGATCTATTGATGCTCTTCCATTACTAATGTGGCGAACGAATACTTAGTAGGGAAAACCAACTTATTGTTTAACATTAAATTACAGAGTAACTTCGTGAAATATGAAAATCATACATTAAATACATCATTTGCACATCTTCTTTGCATCGTTCTTTAAATACTCCATTATTCTTTTGATTCTGTTGTTGTTTCGATTACACTGTGAATTTCTTATTGTTCTCCTCATTTAAATTTTCTTCTGATTGGGGATACATACTACTCATATCTGTCAGCCTAAGTAGCATATACCACACTACTACTACTACTACTACTAACTATCATTTCATTCTAATAATGACATCGTTTGTTACTGATACCATTTATGATTTAGATATGCCTGCTGTTTGTTGTGTTTTAGTTTTGTCAATTTTTGTTTTAGAAAAGAAAAGATAGAAAGTGTGATTTATTGTTTATTTACATTTACTTCAATTGATTGTTTACTTTAGTTCAGACTTACTTTTCTTCATCGTTGTTAACTCACTTCTTTTTCTATTTGTAATTCGTTTCTGTTAAGAAAGAAACGGTATTTGATTATTTTATGAATCATTAATCTGTTATCATCTTCATTAAATGAATAAAAGTTTTTATTTTATTCAGTATGTTGTTAGCTACTGACAAAATGTTGTAGATTTAGGTTTTTTAGTTATTGTAACTTATCAGTCACAGTGAATACATTCAATTCTAAGTGATAATACTTCATTGGAGATGTGAACCTGAAATATTGAGCTCAGTAGTCACAGATATCATTATTGAACTAGTTGATTAATGATTGATCTGTATGATAAAGATGTTTGTATTAATTTGCTGTTGTGTAATAAATAATATCATGCCAGAAGGGTTTTGTGGATATTATAGTAATTTCAATGGTTGAGAACATGAGTCAATTGAAGCTAGACCACTATAGAAAACCTAGAAGTACCTCGCGAGACGAGGTCATAGATGCACACTGCTGAGGAGTCCCACAATAGGGTAAAACAACCGTCCATTACTTCCAGGTTTTCCATGGTGGTCTAGCTTCAATTGATTCATGATCTCAACCATTGAAACGATATTATATTTTCATATTTTTAATATTGATTTATTCAAACTGATTGGATTTCATGGCAGACCTTGAGTTTTGTTTCATTTACTTAGTTCACGATTGAAATTTTGTATACGAACAATGCCATCATTCAAACAACTAAAATTTATGAATTATAATTCTAATCAAGTGATTTAAATGAGAGCCAATGAATAAATATTTCACTCAGTAGTTCTCTAGCTGATTCCAGTATATGATGTTCATACCACAAGTATATTAACTTGTTGATATAATGTTTTCATTAAAAGTGTTGTGACAAATTAGCTCTCAATTCTGAATGAAATATATTAGTCAGAATACATAATATTGCCACTGAGTTTAATAGTTCAAAAGTGCAATGGATGATAGTCATTTGTGAACATATATAATAAGTGTACAAGCACTTTTTAACTCATGTGTATAGTCCAACTATGAATTACTAGAGCATTTGTGAAACCATATAAGATCCTCATTTGTAAAACTAAAACTTTTGATTGATGTCTGACAGATTTGTGTTTCATTGAAATCATGAACCGACGGCCACTGAAAACCTGGGAGCACTGAACAACCGTTTCGTCCTAGTATGGCTCTTCTAAGCAGTGCCCATCGCCGATTCCGAGCACAGGAATCGAACCCAGGACTTTTGGTTGCGTGAGTGAACGCTCAAACTCTAGACCAATAAACCGTCATCCGCGATATTGAGCCACCACTTCCCCTTGTCTTTGGTGAGTAACTTCCCCACACCTGACTCGTTTATGTTCACGGTTTTTTTTACCTATTTCACAAATGTAACAGAAGCGGATGCTTGTTGGTTGGTTGGTGGTTTACACTTTTCATTATTTGCTTATTACCCGACAACTTATAATGTCTCTACCAGATACCTAATATATAAAATAGCAGATAATCCACTGCCTTTGCATTTCATTCCATTGTTTTAATGCCGCAATCTTGTTACTGATACTACTCATAATTCGTTGTTAATATTATATTCACTGCAGCTAGAAATATAAACTATTGGACACTAACTTAATAGTCTAAATATTAAGAGCTCAAAGCAATACCTGAATTTTCCGGTTTCAGTTACTAAGGAAATCCAAGGATTCGCATAGCTGAGGATACTCAGACTAGGCCTACTGGTTTTCAGTGGTTTTTCAACCAAATTGGTCTAAATGTGTGAAAGTTTAAATATAAATAACAGCTTTATATCTCTCTATTGATATATTCAATCAATTGAATAGGTATCCAGTTTTCCTACAATTTTTCAGTTGGGATTTGGAAAAAGTCGACAGTTTTGTGAGGAAATCACTAGTTCACCCACTATAATCACATTCTGTGATTTTGTCATTTATTGTCATCATTTGTCACCACACCAACCGATTACCACATTTTTCTACTAGTATATATATATATCCAAGCATAAAACAAACTGGAAAATTTTATTGTCTATTTAAAAGTTCATTTATTTCATTTTTCAAATATGATTCCAAAATTATTCAACCGTAGACTGTTTTTTGTTTTAATGTTACTTTCCAGACTATTTCAATTCATTTTGATATCTACAGTTACGTCATCATCATCATCATCATCATCATCATCATCATCATCATCATCATCATCATCATCATCATCATCATCATCATCATCATCATCCGTATTCTATCAAAGGAAATTTGAACTATTCATTGATTTATTAAGGTGTATTGTATACATTGGAAAACATGAAATCAATGTACATGAATATGAACTCATGTAAAACCAGAAAAGATATCGCTGTAAGATCATTATGGTTTTATGTTTTATTATATTCTGAATTATTTATTTATTTCTAATGTTTGTTGGGTGATAAAACTGTGGTCATTATGAAGTGAACATTATTTATTCTAGACAATTACAAATAATAATATAATTTGAAATAATTAAGTCATGATTCATTTTGTATTGTTTATTTGAATCTTCTCATTGATGTTTAGGACTGAAATTGATCAGTCTATTATTGGTATATGTTCATCCTATGTGGATGACCTCGATATTACCCTATTTTACAAGTATTATAAACAAAGATGGTTAGATAACGCGATGGCGTTTGAAACGAACGGTATAAGGTTCGAGTTCATGGGGTGAACATTAAACCTCAGATGCGGGTACATCCAGTTGACGAGTCCTAAATAGGACGAAACGTGCGTCCTGATTTCCACTGTTAGCCACTATCCATCTTTGCTTATAATACTAAAACCATGATTGAAATTTCCAGAAAACCCTGGTTCATAGTACGTTTACATATAACGCTAGGAGTGTTAGTTCTCCAAATATTGCTGATATATCTCCTTGATAAGAAATGCCAATCTGTGCTTCAAATAACATATAGTGAGCTCTTCAAAACATTTAAAATCAAGTGAAGTACACAGTGTTATAGTATCAATAGTTGCTATATTGTAACTTGGATGATAGAATTCAATTAGCAATCAAGGTCTAACAATACAATATTGGTTATTGTTAAATGATCAATCAGTGAATTTTTGATAAATAATCGAAATAATTAGAGCTGAATTCCTCGCATGAAGGTTTGTTTAATTTAAATTGGCACACGTTTTTTGGATTAAGTAATCGATAAAGAGATAAGAAACCATTTCAAAGTGCATAGTTATGTGTAGATTTTACATAGTTTAAAAGTAATTTATGAGGACAGTCCACGGGTGAACCCAAGGAATCTTCTTAGCTCAGAAAGAGCCGAAGATATCCCACCCAATCATCTTTTGGAAGAATATTCCAAAGTCCCTACGTGGAGCTTCCCTATTGGACAAATGCTAATAACCCCCTGTATGCGGATCGGAGGACTACAATGATGATTTCATTCTTACTAAAAACTATAAATACCTAATAGATTTGTATCATAATTGATACTGTTTGGAATAGCATTTCTTTCACGTGTCTTCTGTCCTCTCATTTGCGACTTGGGAGTGTTCTAGCGTTCGAGCGCTTATGTTAATATACGTGGTATATTAAGAATCTAAGCTCTAGTTGTAACAACTGTTGCATCAAATGAGAGGTCTCTGGGATTCTCGGGGAGAATGAAGTTGATGTAGTTAGCTATAAACCAACATTAGTTGGTATAACTACTATAAAAATTAGTTTTCATTAGTTGTTTGTAGATCACCATCATATTAAAAGACCAATATATGAATGAAGAATATTCTTTTCAATACATTCTATTCAGGTTCTACAATTATGTATCGAAATTAATAATCCGAAAAGTGACCAGGTTTAGGGTAAAGCGCTTAAAACGTTCACATGCTCGAATGATTCTCCCCAATGCACAAATGTTTCATTTCTATATGTGATCCCTCATCAATGAGCATTCATGACCCTATCTGGAATAGAAATCAGGACTTTCGGTTCCGCAACAAACGCTCAAATGGTGTAAAGGTCAAAGCCTCGATACTTTCCAGTTCCTCCTGGTTTAATTGATTGTTTTACTAAGATCAGTTCGTGATCTTAATATCAAAATCATTATTTATAAAGTTTATCAACTGAATAAACGTTATTTAAGCGCAAAATCACACTTAATAAGTTAATATAATCCACCTCCTATGGAAACCAATACAAGAAAATTATATTGAATTAATTAGTACAGAAGTAAATAAACGAAAATTGTTTTACTTTCATATGTAAATTATTCTTTTAGATTGAGTTTCCCGCAATACGTTATACTTTTAAGTATTCAGAATCCTTAGCAACATATCACTTCAATGATAGAAAGAAAACACTATTATGAGAATGAATTGATTTCTGTTTTCTTTTTGTTTCATTAAACCATTCGAATAACTGGGTTTTTTTTCCCACAACCCCTATACTGATTTCTTCTTTCTGTTTTCGAAAGATACAAAACTATTAACGTTGTTTATTTTTTATTGGTTAAAACGTTTTAAAACTAACAAAATATTCATCAATTTCCAACTCACAGTTATTAATGGTAGTCATCATTATGGATTATTGTCACTTATTTTAAAAAGAAAATGTTTAGCTCTTTTTTGTTGTTTTTGCTTTATTCTACATAATAGTAAAACAGTAAGATGAATAGTGACAAAAAGCAGCCATATTGATTTGGTTTAATGTTTTCTTTTTGTATTGTAACTTATTACCGAATGCATATAAAGAATGGAATTTCCACATTCGACTAAACTTGCATGTTCATCAAGTTGTCATACTCATGTATTCATGTATGGTAGTATGTAGTAGGATTGCATGCCGTCTCCCTCTCTCTCTCTCTCTCTCTATATATATATATATATATATATATATATATATATATATCACTTTCCGTTGAGATATCACGTCAAGCGTTTTTTCAGTTTCAAAAATACTACTGGTTATCTACTTATGAACAAAACAATGAACTGAGTGAAAAAAAAATGCAGGAAAGGCAGTTTGAAAAATAGAAATTTTCTTGTCTACTGATAATTACTGTATTACTACTATTATTTTTAGTAGTAGTGTTGTTGTTTTTATCATTATGTATACTTTCTGAATTTCGTACAAATATTTAAAGCAATAATAATTATGGATATATATTCAAAGATTCAAGATAAGTTAGGAAAAGAAACTATCTAGTTGTGTTGGTGTATGCGTGTGTGTGTGTTTGTGCGAGAGTGAAGGGATGATGAAATAGTGAAAATAAGAACCATTTATAGAAAGTACAAAACATCATAATTTTCATGAATACGATTATTACTTTTCTATTTGTATTATCTATAGTTAGTTGTTGTATATTTGAATATATGAAAGGAATGTGTGCAATCGTGTTTAGATTTTTAGTCAGTTGTCAGCAAAGGCAATCAAAGTAATGTTACTATATTAGTAGTATCAGAATATGAACGGGAAGAATGTCATATTGAAAAAAAAAACACAATTCTATTGAATTATATATAATTTCTTATCTTTTTCCTCCATAATTTCTATGGCAACATCAACTCACGCACATATACAAATAACAAACAAACAAAAAACCCAAAAAAATGTGTATACTGTTGATTAGTTGCAAGTAACGTAGACTATTTGACATTGTAAAGTTCGTCTTTTTTTTAAAAAAAAATGTACAAACTAATTTAAAATGAATTTGTTGAATTTTTAATGACATGAACTTCTTCTATTTCAACATGTAAGAAAGATCTTTATTAAATTCTTAATTAATAAATGAAGGGAAAAAAATGAATAAAATACAATCTAAACAACTGAACGATATTCTAGGGAGAAAAATTTTTAAAAAAAATAGAATTTTTCTTTCAAGCTATTTTCTCATTAGTATTCCTTATTAGAATTTAAGATTAGCTGTATATAAGCCTGAGTAAGGAAGATATATATTTATGGAAGTTGTGGAAACTCCCACATACCTGGAAAGCATCATCAATAAACGAAGAGGATCGGATGCAGACGTAAAGGAGAGGACTGGCAAAGAAACGACAGAGTTCCTACAGTTGAAAAGCTTATGGAAATCAAAACAACTGTCAACATATATCAAAGTCAGATTCTTCAATGCGAACGTCAAGACAGTTCTACTGTACAGAGCTGAAACTTGGAGAACTACTATAACCATCATCAAAATGTTATACGTATTTCTGATCAATTGTCTACGCAAGATATTCAATATCCGTTGGCTGGATACCATCAGCAACAGCCTACTGTGCGAGAGAATAAACCAGCTTCTAACTGAAGAGGAAATTAGGAAAAAGCGTTGGAGATGGGTAGGACACTTATTACAGAAATAATCAAATTGCATCACGATGCAAGCCCCAACTTGGAATCCTGAAGAGAAGCGGAACAGTGGAAGGCGGAAATACACACTACGTCGGGAATTGGAAACAGATATGGAAAGGATAAATCTCAACTTGAAAGGATTGCCTAGAACAAAGATGGATGGAGGATGCTGGTGGGCAGTTTATGCATCTCCGTGAGGAGTAATAGCCGTAAGTAAGTACCTTTTTAGTAATATATATAACACTAGATTGTATAATCAGTACCAATTAACTGGTTATCTGTTTATCAACACTATACATAAATTTGACGGTTGTCAATGTAAATCATTGAAAACATGAGAGCCAAAGTTTAACACTGTTGAAAATATGACAGTTGTCACGGATGATTTTGAATGATCTTCACATTATATCGCAGTTTAATTAGAGCTTCAAAAGTGAACTATTGAACTTTCCACTTGACTGATACAGAAGATCTTACATGTTTACCATGATATCTAGATTAATTTGTTTGAATTACGCTTTTTCAAAAAAATAAATTAAATAACTATCCAATAATCCTCTTATCATTCCATTATTCTTCACCTGTGTTGGGATATTCAGAAAAATATCCCAAAAATTATCCTGTTAAGTCTAATGCTATCCTTGGACTTGAAATGATATCGTCTTCCTATTGGTCAATATTCATTTCACGTATCATTTCCTTGTTAGCCAAATATTGTACAAATGTTATTTTCTACTTTATGGTACGATGTGGTCTGCTTAATTGGTATATAAACAGAGTATGTTTGAAATATAAGGATTCATATCGCAGAGGCTGAGACTTGTGTTCTGGAATTATCTGGCTGGGCTAGGCGGAAAGCAGGGCCAATCAGGACTCTTGACTGCTCACACAGGTTTACGCGTCTTTGATCTGATCGTTAAGTCACTACTCTCTAATCGGTGGTTACAAACTATAACAACATGATGCCCAGTTCATGAGATAAGCTATCTTTAAATTAATGGTGAGTCCAATAGATGATGTAATTTACGATTGAGGATCGGTGCAGATTCCCATTATAAAGTTAATGATTTATCAATGAAACCAATTAGAATAGATTTTTAGCAGTTTATATAGTAAGCTGTGGTCATTTTAAAAAGTCTTTTTATAGATGATCAAATAATTTGGTTAATTGTATGAGGATTGATTCATGAAAATCAAAATAAGTTTCATAATGAAGAATATGACTTATAGTCAACTGATTATTAGTTTTATGAAGATTTTACTCACTTTAAACTCTACTAAATACTCAAATGAAAAGTTTTATTTATTTGCTATGCTTCTAGTTTAACTTGAAATTCAACTCTATCTGTAGCTGTAAAGTTGAGTGTATTTATGACATAACTACTGTACCATAAAAGTAACCGTGGCAATTATTCAAATATGACGGATCAATGTTTTATATCGTTTAACCATACAAAAAGTATACATAAATAACTTATTTCAAATAACCATGTTTCTTATTTGAAAAGTTATTGTGTAAATGACTCACATTTTCGTGACTTAAAAATAGTATTCAAAATTAAGTTGTACACATTTGAGAATGTTGGTTATTTTATATATTATATAGTAACATAATCTCACCTATTTCGACATATCTTGTCAAGTTGTATCGGAATCGATTGAAAAAAAGCTATAGGTGGCTTAACCGTAAATGTGACTTCAGTTCATGAAGTCATTGATTTCTTTTATTCTGACCCATGTCGACACTTTCAGAATACTTGGTTGGAGTCCACTAATTTACCGTGATTAGTGACTAAAGACGATGAATGATGTGGCTTAAAATCGGCCACAATAGTACAGATTTATTCACTCTTTATCTTCCTTCAGATTATTAGTTTCAGTATTCCATTGTATATACTCTTTCATAACTTTTCTTGAACAATATTTTAAACGATATGATTGAAATAAATATAACATAAATAAGCATTTAATTTATTATTATCAGAAGGGGTTTTTGTGAATATTATAGTAATTTCAATGGTTGAGATCATCAGTCAATTGAAGCTAGACCACCATAAAAAACCTGGAAGCACTGAACTGGTGTTTCGTCCCATTGAGGGACTCCTCAGAAAAGAGCATACATGATCACGTCTTGTGAGATCCAAACCCAGGATCTATCAGTCTTACGTACGAACTCTTAACCTCTAGACCACTGAGCTGACCGACATCCAATGGTGTTAATGTTTGATTTCAACTAATCCACGAAATTGAGCGACACATCCACCATTATGTTCAGTGAGTTACTATCTCACAACAGACCTGGTTGAACTCCATTGTTTTATTTATTATTCAGGTTGGTTATTGTTCAGTTTGCTAGGAAGGAACAATTGAGAAAATGTAATTGTTAACTTGAAAGAATTAATTATTATATAATTCTTTTCGAAACTTTATCGTTTAAAACTTTCAGAAGAAGAGAAATCAGTTTTTACACATTAACTAAACACTAAATCTCTTTATTTCTGTCTCTATGGCTATAATCAAGATCTGTTCAGATAAATATTTAAATATTATCATTCTTTTTAAATTCATGTTCAAATTGATTTTAGCGGTATGTCATTCCTATTCTTTCTAGAAATAAAGTACTTCTTTCGAATTCTATTGTGACTCTTATGTAGTTTATTAGATTTTCTTTTGTTTGCATTCCTTTTGCTTAGAAATGGTATAATTTATAATGAAACTATAGCGGTTTTTTTTATCTTCTAATTCTTAACACAGTTAGCATTACTGTTTTGCACCTTTTCTTTTAGCTGGTATTGATGTATCTATGTCTGTATGTATGTATAGTTGTATAAGATGAAAGTATGTAGATCTGGTTTAAAACTGTAATTATTCTAGTGATATGTAAAAAGAGATATTTCTAATATTAAAAATTATAATGAACTAGTAACTGTCTAATAAAATAGATTTGAATAGAAATATATGAGAGGAAAGTTGTCCAAATATAGTTATGTTTATCAATGATTGAATACTCTCCTGTATATGAACTATGTATGCTTACATATATATATAATAGATGTATGTACATTTCTATCTATTAGACATCTTATACATTTAAGAAATAGTTAAACTCAAATGTTAATGAACATAACTGAGACAAAAGTAGATTAACTACTTATAAGTAGATTAGTTACTATTTATGAACATTTACATAATTTATAGTTTACATGTTAGTTTCCATTATGGGTTCGAATCCTGCGAGGGGGATCATGGATGCGCACTGCTGAGTCCCACAATAGGACGAAACGGCCGTCCGGTGCTTCCAGGTTTTCAATGGTGGTCTAACATCAATGGATTCATGATTTCAATCAAAAGTTTATTTTTATGATTGTTCATGTAAATTTTATTACATTCTATTTTATTTAAACCGAAAGACAATAAAAAACGTAAGTCAAATTCCATATAAGCTACAAAATAAATTATGCTATCTACGAAGAATGTTACACAAGAAACTGTGGATGCCTTCTTCACCAACGCATTTATGAATACAAATTAACTGTAATATGTTATCACTGATAATAATACCCGAAGAATACTAAAGCATCCACCACAGCCGCTAGTCTACTTCAATATAATTGTCTATCTATTTACTGGATTTATGCAATCTAAAATGAAAGTAAATGAACGGAAACACTTTGATAGTTGTCTACAGAGGAACTATATTCGTCACAAGGTTCCAAAATAATTAAGTACATTTATAATAAGATCATGAATTGGCTATTCTAAGAAATATCCAACTGGGATTTGAAATGATTCGATATTAGATTAACCAGTTCAAGTACTTATTCATATTATCATAGTGGATGATAATTCCATAACATTATTAGCCATAACAATACGGAATAATAGTTATCGCACAAAATTAACTTAATATATTTAACTGTTAGAATAAATGAAGAACATTATTGATAAAAACAAGTACAGTCAAGGTTTCTTGTTGACTTAAATGCAGTTCAGGCATTTTATGACAATTACTGTGAAATACTAGTTTATATTGTTTGAATTAGTTTAGATATTGCGTAATCATCATTGATTGCCAACAATTTTTACAAACCCCTAAACAACAACTGTTTCATACATATTTTGTTTTATCAAAAATAGAAACAGTCTGATATTTCTTAAAACATTCATTCAAATATTTACTAACTATTTTTCTTCATATCCCTCTCGTGTCAACCCTCCTCCGCGCACCAAAATACATCCAGATACAAACAGATTCAGCATCAGAATATTCTAGTGAAACAGATGGTTCTGACGAGTCAGAGATAAACAATTATTCAGGTTGTGATTCAAATTTAATATCATCTAAATTATCAACAAATTCTTCTTCTCAAGCTATACAATCTACCATAATCGAATTAACTGATGTAAATAGTAACAATAATAAGATCAATGCTTCATCACATAATCTACCTGGCTGTGATATTAATGCTACATCATTTCCATCGGATACATCTGGACAATTAATGCAAAACCCACAGGTACAAAAGTCGGATATAATTGTAAAATCTGATTCTCAACATGTATACTTCAACTCATCAGTCGATACTCACAATAGTATTAATAATAATAACAACAATAGTAGCACCATCAACCACAGTAACTTATCAGATTGTGATAAGCGTAATAGTTCAGCTAGTCTTGACAGTGGACGTGATTCTACATACGCTACGGGGAGTGAAGGCAGTAGTGGGGTAAGTATTGAAATTGTTTTGAGTACTTCTCTTTATTGGCATTCATTTTGTTTTCCCATTAATATAAATTCAGTCTTCTTCAATCGGTAAAATAATAGTTTTTTTGTTACGAGTTAAGATCTGTTGAAGGATCAGTAAAGATTAAGCAGTAGTGAACAGTTATTTCAGTTTAATTCGCAACTTCTTAACATTGTTGACACTTATAAACTTGAGGAGGGCGAATTCGTAGTTCTACAGATTCCACCATGATCATAAAATCATTCTACCATGGAGTCTCAATCTAAGTGTCGATGATAGATATGTTGTTGTTCTCATTCAATAAGCTTGGTCGGTAACTGACTTAAGGCTGACTTGATTAGACCCGCATGTCTGATGTTCAAGAATTGAGAAAGATGTCAGAAAATTGTTTGTTGTTTTGTTGATTACATGTATTTGAAGTGCTAAAGAACTTTTTCCACTGGTGTTTGAAACTGCAACTGATCAACCTTTCTGGCATATGTACATCTTGTGTAAACTGCTTCGATATTACCATTAAGTCACAAGCATTATATGTAGAGTTGGACAGTAGCTACTAGGTACATCCAGTTGACGATTTTAAAATAGAACGAAACGTACATCATTGATTCAACTGCTAGCCACCATTCAACTCTGCTTATAATTTTCAAAATCTGTCTTGTAAAAATGATGATAATAATTATCATAGCAAGATCTACTAAATTAATAAAGTGGGTTACAGGCTGATTCAGTCACTTGTCTGGTCAAAGATTGACACTTAGATAAATGAAACTTATTCATTTAAATTTGAGGCACACGTTTTTGTATATGAGTGCTATCCAACTACACAAACTGAAACAATTAAAATAGGCTACAAACCCGTCATCTGATAATTTGAAGTCTATTGTCTTTACCACTAAACCGTTGATCTAGCCAACGAATTACTTAAACATTCAATACAATAAGATAAAGTTTATTTACGTTAAAGCCATTCAAATTAATTTTTTTCCTGGCGTCTTTTTCATTCGTGTAACTGGTTGACAGTAGCAAATACATATTAAATTTCATAATTAATACATCTAAGGGCTGATAATCATAGAATTCGCGTGGTCTAGAGGTTAAGCGTCCTCACGCCAGACCAAAAGTCCTGAGTTTGATACCCGCGTACGGAATCGTGGATGCGAACTGATAAGACGTCTCATACTATAACGAAACAGCCACCCAATGCTACCAGATTTTTATTGATGGTCTATCACAAATTGACTAGTGAATTCAACTATTAAAATTACTATAATTTCCACAAATCCCCATACTATTAATATTACAGAAGTTAGATTTATAATATTGAAATAGATTTCCCGTATTTTTCGTACAAATTGCACAGCCAGTCAGTCAGCTGCAACGTAAGACCAGGCACATCAGTCCAAGTTGCCATACCGCAATAGCACAACAAGATGAACACCGGACTCATAGAAGTGGTTAATTCAATGATGGTAATATATAAAAGAAAGATTGCATAGTACAGGAAGAAAGAATTAGTTGGTAGAAAGAAAGATATGAAGCGATTTTAATCTCATAGTTTAAAGGAAGACAGAAAGTGTATACATCTACACCATTGTGATCGATTCTGAGCCATGTCACTCAGAATCTTTAATCATTGATTACAATTGTCATGCGGACCTGCATCTACTAACATGGCTCAGACTAGAACAAATTACACAAGGTATACATTTAATCAATAAGACATTGTTTGAAATTGAATTCAACGTTTTAGTTTCTAGTTTTTAAAAAAATTGTTTCCAAAATAGGGATGTGTCCAGTTTTTTCAAAGTGAGGTAATTAATATGTCCTTCTAAGTATAATTCAATTAATGAAAATTAATTAATTCATTTATTTATTCTATTTTGATGAACATAAAATAAGTCATGACCCTTGAAAAAGTCACTTCTAACAATATACATTTCTGAATGCTTGTACTTATACGCTATTTTTCCAGATAGTTTATAAAGAATAATTCAATTTGAATAAACCTTCCATGAAATAGACTGATATCAGTTGAAGATAATCTATAAAGGTCGAATCTTGATGATTGATAGATTAATTTATTTCACTGAAGAAAAATGACAAATGAAATAGTCGCGAATAGGGGGGAAATAAAACTGTCATACAACACCTTAACAAACTAGTAAGAGTAAGGGGTCATTTAACATTGGTAAAATTCATGCTTAATTGTATACTGTTTGATTATTGGTAGATTTATGTCTATCCTGAAGGTATTGTGTCGTTTTGGGGGAAGGAGTCTAAATTATAAGTGTGAGCGTCTAGTAAACTGAAAAAGAAGATAAACTTCAGACAAACCATTCAGTTAGAATAAATGATGAAATTGGGTTTTACAATATCAACGATCCTCAAAAATCATTTAATTTCCATACGTAAATTTAAAATAATCTAGTTGTTAAAATGAGAGAAAATAGACCGCATAAACAGTAGGTATAGTTGGCAGGAAAGTGGCACCATGAACATGTGGTACATTCTGGTCAATAGTAGGAAGATCACAGATAGAGTAGATCATGTCTTTTCAAGTTCTAACTGTTAATTTAAGAATATTTTGCCTTTACAATATCTAAACAATGGTTAGTTACTTTTGCCACATTTCATAGTTGTATTATTATCTAACCTTTAGATGATAGGGATTTGACGGAATTCGTTACATTAGATTCTATTTCTTTAATGCCGACAATAACCACAAGTTCATATAGTAACATCATAAATCTTTTTAAAAAGTCATAAACATAAAACTTTTTATTTAGAAATATGATTACCTGTATTGAGAATGGACGGTAGCTAACTGTGACTCATTTCTGTGCATTGTTTAATTATTGGGTTGCAATTAACATCATGTTTGTCTAGTTCTCATGGTTAATGAAATTCTATCAATCAGGTTACAGTTCAGCCGCTAGTCCAAATGACTCAAGAACTCTTATAATATGATTCGATATTAATTTGATGAAAGTAATCGGTTAGAAACAATGAACCTAGCTTTATGTTAGTTGGGATTTATCAGCAAAAAAACATATGAGTTTAAATACCATTCAGTGGTTAATCAGTGTAAATACATTAGTCCTTTAGGAAGCCGTGCACAGTTTAAATAGAGCAGTGATAGTGCTGATAGTTGTGACACTACCCTGATACAAATTATACTACTCTTGTCATGTAACCTAAGTTCAGTGTCTCCTGTCAGTTAAATCCAATCAACTAACGCCCGTTTGAAATTATTGAAGTTGATTCTTATTATAAGTCGACCTCACTTAAATTTTATATCCAAACTAGGGTATGCAGAATCAATATTTCCTATTATTTTCAGATCACAACTGAAAGTCTTACTGCCAATCAATTTAACATTTGGTTTATCGAATTCTATTTCTATGATTTGATTCATTACTTAGTATTATGTCTTTCAATATTAAGTACCAATTTCAAATCATACTCGAAATAATCATACATGAATAACGACTACCAATCAAATATTCTAGTTTCCATATATGAAAAATGAGTGTATAAGATAGAGAACATGAGAATTAGACATTTCAGCTGATATAACAATCATAACAAATCTTATATTTCAATGGTTAAGATCATGAGTCAGTTGAAGCTGAACCACCTTGGAAAACCTGGAAGCACTGGACGACCGTTTCATCCTATTGTGGGACTGCTCTAATGGTTAAGTGCTCGCGCGCGACACTGATATATCCTGGGTTCGAATCTCGCTGGTGGCGAGGTCATGGATGCGCACTAGTGAGAAGTCCCACAATGAGACGAAACGGCCATCCAGTGCTTCCAGGTTTTTTATGGTGGTCTAGCTTCAACTGAATCATGATCTTAACCATTGAAATTACTATAATATTCACAAAACCCATTTGATATAAATCTTATATTGTTAAATGCTTTCATTATGATCAAAAGTTTGCGATAATATTTTGTAGACTGTTATTTTCTCTGCTAATAAACCTACATATCCCTTCACTTATCGATCACTCAACATGTATATAAATCGTTATCGTTTCAAATCTAATTACAAATAAGTTGGAGTAGTAATTTTGTCGCTTAACATTCAACAACATTCAGTAATTACATTCCAAATTGAGTATTCAAAGTAGAAGACAAGTGTTAGGATAAAAGAATTTATTGGTTGTTTACCTCATTTTTATATGAATAGACAAGTAATTCACAATCTGTGCAATCTTTTATGGTTTGTATTAAAAATATACCCTTCAACCTTTGTAAAGTGGAATGTACTCATAATGATAATCAAAATAGTAATAATAATAATAATAATAATAATAATAATAATAATAATAATGACTTACTGCTAAAATCAAACATAACCTAAAATGACCTAGAATGATCCATGCCAATCAATGAACACAAAGACATCTTAATTTAAGAAGTCTTGTTAGAAGCTACCGTTGTTCAACTATCTACGTATAGTTTACACATCGTTTATAAGTTTCTTATGATACATACATGGATGTTCAATTTTCTCATCAAAATATTTATGATACATGTATATGACTAGAGTTTCATCTGGAACTAAGTATATTTTAAAATTGTAAGTAATTATTTAAACCACTATACATCCATCAAGGTTGTCAGAGTTTGTATTGAATAATAGGTAAACAATGTGGCTTTATTTAATAACGATTTGTGGAATACACATGTTGGTATCTTTTTATATGTACACTGTAAGAGTAACTATTATCCAGTACATCCATGACAAGAAGTTCTTTTTAGTCGGATCAAAAGAGAAATCCATCCTTGTTGAAATATACTACCAACGACAAAGTCGTTCGGAACAATTTATAATCTTGAGTATCGTTACGTTCATATAGTATTATTCCTAAGCGAAATATTCTTCCTTATTAATCGAAAAAAGAAAATTTCACATTTCTTTTTAAATACTTCATTTGATAGTTATTGATTAATATCAGAAGGGGTTTTTGTGGATATTATAGTAATTTCAATGGTTAAGATCATGAGTCAGTTGAAGCTAGACCACCATGGAATACCTGGAAGCACTGGACGACCGTTTCGTCCTATTGTGGGACTCCTCACTAGTGTGCATACACGATCCCGCCTTTTGAGATTCAAAACCAGGACCTTTCAGTCTCGCGTGCGAATTCTTAACCTCTAGACCACTGAGCTGACCGACATCCAATGGTGGTAATGTTTGATTTCAACTAATCCACGAAATTGAGCGACGCACCCACCATTGTCATCAGTGAGTTACTATCTCACAACAAACCCGGTTGAGCTCCACTAGAACTCCAGGATATACCTCTTGAAGCCAGTTACTATTGAGCATATGTTGATTACTATCAGAAGGGTTTTTTGTGTATACTGATTATCCGGATGATAAAAGTTAGGGTATCCGTGAAAATTTCGTATACTTGAGTAGCTGTTGAAGTGCAAATAAGATATAAGGGGAAGAGATTTTTACCTGTATGATGAATATTTGTATAGTATACTGACTGAGAATGTTCAGTGAGTTTTCATGTTTGACCTGCAAGGTCTCTATAGTATTACTCAAATTCGTTATTAATTACAGATAAGTCGTTTTGGTATCGTAAGTGTTTTGAAGATATATCGTAGCTCATTACTTGTTCGGTGAAAGTATTCTATAATACAAGATTTGACTAATTAAACACGTCGTACTAACACTTTCTGAATAGCTATGATGTTGATCATCGTTTGCGTTCATTGTGACTAGTTACAAGGGACAGTTGTACGGTTAACTTATGTTTAATGATTAAGTGTTGATATACTAATACTTCAAACTATGAGTCATAGACTAATCTGGTAGTGACTGAGTTACACGCTTGTTTTCTTATCTTCTGTTAGAAAATGAATGACAATCTAGGGGTCCCATACTAGGACGAAGCAGCCATCCAGTGCTTCCAGGTTATCGGTGTTGGTCTAGCTTAAATCAACCCATGAATTCAACTATTAAAATTACTACAAACTCCACAAATCCCCATTCTGATAACTATCTAGGTCTGTCTGTTTTTGCATTTTAACATCGTTTCTTATTATCTGTCGTTACATCTCTATAGGAGGTACTCAAATCGTAATTTATGAAGTGTATGGGTAGTGTTGTTTTACTGCGTAGACTACATTTGAATCAGTTGAGTATATGAATGAGCTGTTTTTTTATCACCATTATCATGAAATTTACAGAATAACTGTAGATGTTAATACACAGACCCATACATACAAACAAACATCATCACATTAAACCTGAAATGATCCCAATTAATGGAAATGAACAAACATTAAAATATTGTTTCTTTCTCAAAGAATGAATATTTCTTATTTATTTATGTGTGCTTTCCTGTCCGTCTTGAAGTTACTTACAACCTATTCAGTTGATTTATCTAAAAAACAATACTGAACTCGCGGTTTTTATTACCACCCACACACAAATGCAACGAATCAGTCATACGTTTGTCTTCTGGAAATTTAAGGAAAAAACCCACTTGAAAATGAAACTAATAATTATGCATAGGATATCTACATCTTGATTTATTGTTTGAAAAGTAAAGATGAACAATGCGAAAAGGTAGAATAAGAAAGCAGCTGAGGAGAATATAAATGTATAGAAGGTCAGTCGCATATTATATAGCTGAGTGCTAACGTCTTAGACTGTGAACCATAACATAATGGGATCGAATCCAATATAGAGCACTGATCCCTTCAAGATTACAGGTACACATTGCTTGAGTTTCAACTTGCGTGGAACCTATATCCAGGGTTTTCTGTTGATTACCTCCAACCATCTAACAGAACATTATATTATTTGTCCTTTCTTTTCAGATTACCATTAAAATAAGCCTATGCTTTTTATTTGCTGTTTCCAGTCATGAGTTTATTTAAGGGTTCTTCTGAATGGATATGCATGTTTTAAGCAGGTAGATCACAAACATTTGCTGTTCATTCCCTTGGTAGTCTAATGAATAAATTTTATGATATCGTGAGCATGAAGCATTATTATTTCGTAATATTTTCTTTCCCAGTTTTTGGAAACTAACTGTGAAGATTCGTCAGTTCTCGTTTCTATATAGGTTTTCTGTAGACTGATATTCGTATTGATTTATAATTTCTTTTAGTAAGTAGGACATCAAGAAATGATAGTTTTGACTTATATTCTTGTGATGTTGTAAATTTAAGTGATCGTTGGAAAAAGCCGAGTAGATAATTTGTTGTTAACACTGTGATACATATACATCTAACCAAAAAAGTCCCAAAAAGGGCAGAACGCGTATTCTGCATTACATTTGCAGCTACGTACCAAATTTACTAAGACCAAATAACTGTTCACATCATTCGGAAGTTCATCAGTTAGTCTCAGTTCATAATGAAGATTACATTGAATATATTGACAAAATGTTGATTTTTTTACAAAACCGTTTCTACAAAAATATCCCAAAATTTTTCTATTCACAGGTTCAATATCCTCAACAATATTCTTCAGATGATGGGTATATTCTATCACCAACTTTACCATACTGTTATAATAGTCAAATATCAAGGAATAACATTATCTCAACTCGTAAAAATAATCATAACTCCAGCAGTTGTACACCATTTGATAATACCTCCTCATTACCAGTAGCAACGATATTACCATTTTGTAATCATAATAATTCGACTACTTATAACGTTAGTAATTGTTGTGTGAATAATAGTAGTAATGCTAGTAGTAGTCATAGTAGAAATTCTTCATGTCATCAATTAAAACAATACCACCAACAACAGTTCAATAAAGATGATACCTTGACATCACCAACACACAAGTATAACAATTATAGTAGTATAGATAATAAAATTGCCAATTCTATGCTACAATGTACGGAGCCTTGCGAATATTATCATATTCCATCATATCAATCTACCAGGAATTGTTGTTCAACTACTAATCTTATCAAACCATCAACATCACCGTCATCACCAACACAACAGCAACAATCATTTTTGCCGTCCTATTCATCTTGTCAAGAAAGACATTTTACTGATTTTGATGTTTCAAGACCAAAAGTACCAGCAAATATATATCATCGATCACATGTTCTTTCGAATATGCCTACGCAATCAATACATAGTAATCAATGCCAACAACAATCAGTTCATTCTGTTTTAATCAATCCCGATGATGAAGCATTATTTGCATGGTTAAGATCAGTTGGTCTTAGTCGGTAAGTGAAGAATAAATTAGTTTTTAGAAATGAAACTTTAATATGCTGTATCGAGTTGCTACAAACTATTGTGTTACGTATCCCTAACCACCAACTACCTCGATCTACGATTTTGGCCGGTTTGAAAGCTAGGGGTGACTAGAATTAGGTTAATTAATATTCGTGCTCTTTGTGATTGGCTGACCAACTGATAATCTATAATTCAGTGGTGTATTTGTAATCAATTAATTAACTGGTTGACTGAAATGTTTGAGAGAAATGAAGAATTGATGATACCATTATAAATGTTCATCACCTGTTGAGATTATAGACTCTTAAGTATGACATGTAAAAAATTATTTTACCAGCTAGTAGTTTACTTCTCGGACTATCTTCGACAACTAAATAAACACTGGAGACTATGGAGCACTGTTTGGGAAGTACTGAATTAAGACTACTGACCAATACTCTCTGATTTTTGATGTCCAGGTCAGCTACAATCCGTTCACGATGTTAGTTGGTGATCTTTCACTTGAGTAATCTACACAAATATTCGCATCTTAATAGTGATAAACAGTTATTTTACTAGGTGGTATTTAGGCGTTGTTGGACTGTATTTGAGAGTGAATAACTTAAGACAGCTAAAAGCACCATTAGAAAACAAGCCTTGTAATTCTTAGGTGGAAACATTTTCCTACTTAGCTGGTTGGAGATAACCGAGAGGAAACTCTAGATACAAGCTTCGTGTTGGTTGCCACTGTTATGTAAAATGTACCTGTAATCTTGTAGGAGTTGATGTTTCTTGTTGGAAAGAACCTCATTTCATCATATCTCACAGTATGACATGTTACCTCTGAGCTGTTCGGGGTACGACTGACTTCCTCTCTGATGGGATATTTATAATTGATTAATCATTGAGTAGTGACCGATGCCATGCATTTTAGTTCCGAGAAAATTCTGTTTCCTCTGACTTTCAAAACCATATACTTGGGTTCTAAAAAAATATTTAAAAGGTCATCATAAGGAGCTATGTTAGTGTGAACAATTATTTGTAAGCTTTCTATTATCAGTACAAATTTGAGTCATTTCATCAGGGTAGCTTATCCCCCTAATTTGAAAATTCTTGTTTTACAATTATCACTTCTTCTAAATATCCACTCTGATCTGACAGTAATTAACCAGACTCTTAAACTAATGTTTTATGTTTGTTACCATGTGTATTTTTTTTAGCTTGAATGAAAGTGATTAATTTTGCTGGGTTAAGTGAAACCTCTTTGTTTTTGATTAGGAGTTCATTTCCTATTTGTCTATCGATTTCTTCTATTCAAAAATTGTCAACTTATTTTCCTGGTAATTTAGTAATCATGTAACATTGAATGAATTTTAATTATGGATTTGAGTTTCTGTGACGTTATCATTTCTTTTAGTATTAACACATTCAGTTGATGAGCTCTGAATGTAACTGGACAAATGTTCTTGGAAGGTTGAATATGGTTACAAAATTATGACAGTTTTAAAGCCTCCTAAAACTATCGAGGATAGGCAATAAATTCATTCTAGTTTGCAACTCTTGGAACAAAATCAAAAAGCTGATGTTCGGTTCTTATAATAAGTTAAATATCTTCAAGACGCTTAGTTCAGTGGTTTGGACTCAACCATAATTATTTTTCCATATAACATAATTCATACCGTATGACATTAGTAAGTTATTATCTTATTCAGAATTCATTTGAAACGTCATAAATTGTGGAATTACATAAAATCATCACAGAACAATGTAACTAATTACTAAAACTAAGATAGCACATAATTCCATTGACAATTGATCGGCCGAACTGATAAATCATCATTTAAAACAACTATGATCAAGACAGCTTAACAGATATGAAAATTCTGTCTTGTTCTTTATCATAAATAAATTAATATAACTGTGATATCCCAATGAGTAGAAAAATGAGATTTTCTGGTGTTTCGTGACTTAGTGTATGCCACTTCTTCAGAGAATATAACAATCTACCCAATGCTTAATTTATTCAAAATTACCAAATCAAACCTTGGTAATGATACCTTGTTCTTTATCAATTAAATTCTCAAAATTTAATTCATTGTTTATGAATTTATTTTCTAATTTTTCTTTTGAAAATGCATTTTTGGTATAGATTAAGTGGATGTTTATCTAAATCCGGGTTTGATCTATGGACATTGTGTCATACAACACCGGAAGAATTGAATGCTTGCGGAATTACTAATCCATATGATCGACAAATTTTGAGAAACCAACTCTCTACTCTTCAATTATCTGATCCATTTACAGAAAAACAACTACCGGTAAAAATATTTATGAATTCTGTTTTATAAATTGAACAGTGCTATCGTTGTTTTTTTAGGTTAGGTAATTGAACTTAGTCGTTAAGTGTTCCTGAACCTTAGTATTGTACTAATTAGCACTTGTCAATGAGGAGTACCTGCTTTTTTCAGGTAACTGTTGCCTTCCGCGTTACCGGGCTTCATAATCTGAGACATTATGGCTGGATCATTGGGGTCTAAGGATCAGACAAACATGACATTGGTTGAGACACCACCCGGCGATCTACTAATATAAATATCTCAAAGCTATAGAGAGTTAGTTGCAGCCCGAATAACGTAGTATTAATATTTCAGAATGTGATGTCATACGATGCGAGTGTGATCTCATAAGGGGACGTCAGTTCCTCCAAGATTTCAGATAGGTCTTTTTGAGGAGTGCCAATTAGTACAAAACCAAAGTCCAGGGTTCTCTATCGGCTACATGCAATCATCTAACGTCGAAACACAATTTTCAGTCGCTTAATTTGGTGGCTACGCTGTCATTTGATCGATGGAATACGATAAGCACTAAGGACTAATTAGACATAACATTGGTCATCAGTCAATCATCAGTCAATGTTAATTTGTCTAGTTAAAGTGAATTCGATCTTGATATCAGCCGTTGAAAGCGTTCAGCTTTCTTTTTTACCTTCTTTCCCATCTAATACCTACTTGTTTATTTATGTATTCTACAACCTATATGTACTGTAATTATATTTAGAATCTATTTATTCTGTGAATCATCGATCTAATGAAAGTTCATTGAATACATTCGACTGACTTATCCAGAAATTGACAAAATAACGTATATATTCAAATAAAGTTCGGATCAATTTAGTAATTGTGGTTGATAGAACAAGAACTGAACTTATCAGAACATGTATGTGATTAAGAAAAATGAAAGATTTGTGCGTGGTCGTAAATTAATCAGACTGGTTTTCAAAAAATACACGGACATAATAATTAATCAAACAATTGGATCTATGATGTCGTTACTATTGAAGGCACCAATAAATAAGTTACCGTGATACAGTTTATTATCCTTCGTCTCATCTGTTTAGATGATTCATGTCTGTCTGTATGTGTACGATTTCAAATGTCAATTCTTGTTTGCAAGACCGAATACTTGTTTAAAAGATTTTGCTTTCATCGAAGTCAATTTCTATGTCCTATTTTTACTGAACGTCTAACAGTCTCAGAGATTAACCATGTAATATTACCAAATCTTTACTGATAGAATTCATACTCGTTGACACAAGTTAGTAGCTAATTGAAATCAGTAAGTTGGTGAACAACACAGTGCTATTTAAAGAAACAATTGTTAAGTTTGTGTTTCAGTGTACGAAATCGACACTTAAATATAAGTATATTTAGCTGACGAATCCAGAATAGGATAAAACATGTAAACTGAATTCTACTTTCAGCCACAATCTAACTATACAAAAAATTTGTATTATGGATATTGATAATAAAAACCGTATTCCTAATATCTGCTAAAGTTTATGAATAAAATAAACTGATTGGTGAGAAAATGCAATGTAAACTGTCTTGTGTCAGAAACCACCATATACCTGAAATAAATAACATGAATGTGGGTAATGATAAGAAAGTGAATAGTTGAGGCAGATCATCTTATTAATCAGTAGAGAGAGAGATGGGAGGACAAACAGAGACACTTTCAATATATCGGAAATTTATCGCTTTATATTAATACTTTTAGTAGTAGTCGTAATAATAATAATCATGATACTAATGATAATAGTAATGGTTAGGATAATATTACCATTCTTCCCCCAAGAGATATCTTATCATATTTCAGTTAATATAAATATGATAAGATTTTACACAGATGATTCATACTTTTATACAGACAAAGATACTTAGAATAGTTCCATAGGATTCACATATTATTTTGTTTAATTGTAAGTAATAAAGTGTTATTACTGTCAGGGAGATTGTTACATTTCACGCTTTGCATAATGATCTTATCTTAGACACTTATTAAAGACCAGGAAGTACTGGACAGCTATTTCCTGCCTGTTTGAAACTCCTCGGCAGAATGTACTGTTGTAGGGTCCCATACTTTGAAAATAGATTAGTCATTTAATTGAAAGTAGTCGAGGAATATTTTGACTTGCTACCTAATAAGTTTGATTTTACATGAATTTCATAAGTTGTATAAACACAGAAAATGGTGTATGCAGAAAAGTATAAAGAGGGGAAATATGAAACAGGAATTGCTGTGAGAGATTTCAATTGCTATAGTATACTGGTAACGGATTCGAACCCTTGCCATGAAGCTAACTGTTTCGGCTGAGACAACTAATATTTTATAGGATTGTATTATCTGGATATTAAGTGATTATTTGGTTGTCATTATTTGTCTCATACTATTTATAAGGTTAAAAACAGGTAACTAGTCGAAATGATTCACAAAATTACGGTACACTTTGGTAAATGACTTGGAGATTGAATTATAGAAGAAATATTCAATGTGATGGAAAGTTGTATATTTTCATGCAATTGTATTTCAGCTAATCTTCACAGTTATGAAATTTACAACTCTGAGTTAGATATCATTAACAGTACAGTGGTGTGACTAATAGACTTTTTATAATTTTTAAGGAAAACATTTACCCAATTTTATTCAGTATGAGATCGATTGGTGGGTTGAGAATCCATTCCATATTAATATTATAGAGGTTGTGGAGATTATTAAGTTTTTTTGATTGAGATCATGAACCGACTGATGTCAGACCACCTTTGGAAACCTGAAAGCACTGAACGGCCGTTTCATCCTATTGTGGATGCGCACTGCTGAGGAGTTCCACAATAGAACGAAACGGTCGTCCAGTGCTTCCAGGTTTCCAAAGGTGGTCTGACATCAGTCGGTTCATGATCTCATTCCATATTAAAACTGAGTATATTTTCATATGAAAATCAATTGTACAACTAAAAAAAATCTTCATATAGCTATAATAGTTGTAAACTGATTTACAATTTTCTTCAATAAAAATTAAAAAAAAACTCGTCTTATATGTGTACCGGTATTCCAGTGTTGATATTTATACTGAGACTTGAACCTTGTACTTATCATTTCAAATGCCAACATTTCACCTATCAAACTTATGATTATAAAGAGCCACCAAGTTTACTCACTAGGTGGTTACCTGTAGTGGTCAATTATCTATTCATGATACATACATTCAAACATAAATCAATCATAAATCAGTTCTCAATCATAACATTATCAAAATACAAATGCTTACAAATAATGAACTATTCATATTGATGTAATAAGCATTGAAATGTTATAAAACATGAATCGTTAAAACAATGAATAATCTTTACAATTTCTATATATTGTACTTTCTCATTATCAATAAACTAGAGTTAATTACTTTAATTCACATGCTGACTTATTTATTTTTATTGAATAAACTTTAATCTTGATTAAATATTATAAAAAAATGATTGGCTTCTGCTGGGTTTAGTCTAGACACTAACTAGTCTATATTACATAATTTATTTTTATTTTTTCCAACAAGGAGAATAGAAAGGAAATGAAGAGTGAATGAAATGTGCATGTTTGTGTGTGTGTGTGTGTATAAATGTGATTTTCTTTTCCATGTATGAATATGATAATTTTTATTATAATTGCTCTTAACTGATGATAATGATGATAGATGTATGTAATTTATTTGTGGATGATGATGACCATAGTAACAGAATTGTAGTACCATGTAATGAGGAATCTCTTTTAAACCAAGTGCCTATTCATTTGTTAATAATGATTAATTTGACTTAACTAAGCAATTAGTTTATATAAAGAGATTTATGTAGACTATCCATTCATTCAATTTCATGCTCATTGCATTACCTGCTGTGATAATCTGTTATATAATTGGAAATCATTAACAGATAATCATTTCCTGTCTAATTTTTTTTGTTGAACGAATAATGTTTCTAAGCAAAGATGGATAGTGGCTAGTAGTGGAATTCAGGATACGTGTTTCGTCCTATTTAGGACTGGTCAGCTGGATGTACCTGCATCGCAGAGTTGATGTTCACTCTTGGACTCGAACCCAGTACCATTCGCTTCAAACGCCATCACGTTATCCACTTAGCTACTAAGTCCTGTATTCCACTGCTAGCCACTATCCATCTTTGCTTAAAAATCTTGTGACTTAAGGCTATATCGAGGCAATCTGCATAGGATGTACATATGTCGACATGAGACTGATCAATCGCAGTTCTAAATAACAATGGAAAGATACAAGTAAAACAACACCAAGTGAATAATAATGTTTCTATTTGTAATTTCATAGATATATCTACGATGTTTTTTTCAAAATATCGCATGTGTAGATATATGGTAGCATCCATACATTAAGGTTGATAATAACTAATTATTAGTACTGAACTCAGTATAAGAAAACTTGATCTAAAGAGTTCTAAAGATTCTCCCCATATTCAATCATCATTATTTCAGTGAGAGATTGCTCATATTCGGTGATGACATAATAAAATTCATCATCTAATAAGTAGTGTTATCTTGAAATATCCATTTTGTTAGCTTATCCTGTTAGCCTTCATACAAAGAATTACATAGTAACATTGAAATTTTGTGGGAAAATCAAAGAAGTAATAGGCTAGTAACTTGACATCGATGAATAAAAAAATAGTTATGTTAAACTAGCATTTATTTATATATCATAACATCCCAGAAATAGCTTCCCTCTTCATCTAAATACGCTAATTGTGATACTCAAAATTGAGATTATTGGCCTTTTATGTTCCCTCTAGTCTGCAAGTTTAACTGTGTTTACTATGAATTCTAATAGATTTGCATTCAATTCGTAAACTGAATGTATGTGGGAATTTATGGAGATTGTAGTATTTTTTACAGCTGAATTCGCGAGTCGATCTAAGCTGGACCAGCATTGGTAACCTAGTAGCACTGGATGGCCGTTTCGTCCTAGTAAGTGTCCACGATCCCAAGCGCAAGACCGAAGGTCCTGGGTTCAAGTCCTGTATGAGGAGTTGTGGGTGCGCACTGGTCAGGAAATCCATACTAGAACAAAACGGTTGTCCAGTGCTTTCAGGTTACCAATGATGGTCTAGCTTAGATAGACTCGTGAATTCAACCGTAAGAATGTATATATATTCAGGTGATCGACAGATCGACTGTTGAAAACAATATATGACCTTATATACGTATAAAAAGCTGTCACACTCATATAAACTTACTACTAATAAAATACCGATGTGAAGTATATCAAGTTAGTAAATGTAGTATTGTTATTATATAAAAGGGAACTTGTCAAATAGAGTCTGGAAAATTAAGGAATGAAATTTTGATGACGGTGTGATATTCAATATTTCAAGAAAAATAAAATACATAATTCGTTACTGTCATTATGACACAGTTTGAGACACATGATTGAAGTCTCAAACTATATATTAATAAATTATTTAAACTATTATTTGGTAATTGGTAAATTTGATATTCAGTTAACGGTGAGATTCAATGACATTGCGTTTTGTCCTATATAGGACTCATCCGCTGAACTTAACAGTCCGTAAAAATGGAACCAAATAATTTGTCCTACAAAGTGATGTCTCTTTAATAACCATTAAAAACCAACAACAACAAAAATATTGTACGATCATTTTGTTTTACTTTCTAATTCTGCATCAGTATGGCGTTATGAATACAAAGTTAGGTCAATTGGGATATCTTCAGGTCTTATGTAAAGCCTAATACCTTTAGACTAATGTTATAGAATTCAGTAGTCCATATTTCTAAATGTAATTAGTAATTTAGTGAAATAATTGAATATCCTTTAAAATTTTACACACTTACCAGTCACTGTAACGAAAATAAGATAACTTGTAGAACTATCGACTTCTACTTGAAGTTTGTGCTGATGAGATATCGTTCAGAAAAATGATGAAAGCTCCACGACCAAACCATCCAGCTCAGAAAAAGAAAATCCATGAAAAACTATCGTGAATTATTTTGAATGATCAATTCATAACATTATTTTCTAATCTGTTGTAGGGTTTGTTCAGTTTTATTTCATTTCATTTCAATAACTAACATGGCTTATTATTATTACTGAATATTTTTATCATCATTATTATAGGCTAGTGTTCATGAATGGTTAATACAATTACATTTACAACAATATTGGCCTAAATTTAATGATCAAGGTTTAATAACATTTGAACAAATTATTCGTATTACATGGGATGATTTAGAAGAGATTGGTATTTCCAAATTAGGTACGTTTATATTCTTATTTTACATTTAATGATATACTACTATTATTGACTAAGTGAGTAATAGTAGTTCATATGTAGTATGTGTTCGTGAAGATGTCAGCATTTCCATATTCTCCGCCTGAAGCCCCTATGAGGCTACTGCCGGTGCCAAGCCCGGGTGAAGGAGGAGGATTGGGCATGGGGTTAGCGACCCCATCCCGTAGAAAATTAACTCGCTAAAAGAATCGCTAACCAGAAAAAATTATTCAAACCACAATGAAATTAGACTTCATATTATTTCAAGTCAGCGATGAATCATTTTCTTCCCAAAAAAAAATTAGTTTTAACAAAATTCTTTTATATTCATACTGAATATCAGTAGACATATGTTGGCTTCATGTACTAACTGAATACTAAACAAAGAGATAGAAGTAATTAATCAGTTCTAGGTTATATTGTTAATTTCCAATTATTCAATAACATTTTCATTAATGATATGAATATGGGCTACAAATTATTTAGTCCATTTATCTTTCCCTTTAAAGTATTTGTTGAACATTGTTTACAGACTAGTTAAGAAATATTTTAATAAGCATCATCTAACCTAATTATTTATTTGAACACATAAACATTGGTACAAGGAGGCAGCGATTAGATATGCGCCACATAAACCATTCGATTTGTGTGAGGGCTGGGATACTACCCGGATGCCAAAACCGAAGCAGATGGTTTTCTTAGGGGGCCACACCCCGAGCTTTCGACCTAAAGGTTTAATCCACAAAGCAGTGGAGCAACGTCAGGAGATTCAGTCCCATGGTGACCAGTGCTTAACGATAGGTTCATACTCCATTTGTTCCTTCAGGATACTGGAGTCCATGTGAACCATTGGTTTGGAACCAGGGTTTTCCAACTCCCCTGGGTGGACTCTCCATATCCACCAACCCGGTCAAAGCGCCGTGTATTCGCTTTTCGTCCTCTCAATTTAGTAAACAACGGTATTATCACGAGAAGACAGTGAGTAGGACTTCCCTCGCAGTGGTTGTATGCACGTGGCCACTTGAGAGCATTTCAAGAGGGAGATTTAACTCTCCCCACTCTCCGCGGTATCAGAGCATTTGGAGGTATCATCTAACCTGATCTAATATGAAGAAAATTGGAAAGAATAAAGTTTGTGAAGTATTAATGATGTTTAGATTTATTGATTTGTGCACTAACTAGTGTAGTTTTGTTGTGCTCTCAAAAACTTCACATATTTTCATGATTATGTTCAAGCTACAAATATTCTGTTAGAATGCTAAATCGAGATTGAGTTCAGAAATGACAATCTGACTATTATCTACACATTAATTTTGAAACTTCTTTTAGAATAACCAACTGAAAAAGTTTTATTCTTGTAGTTTAAATCTTACTCTTTTACTGCTATCAAGTTTTCAAGAACTGTCTGACTAAAATCACCAAACCTGTCATAAGTGTAGTGAACGAAAACAATAGTTGGGATGACCAAATGGGTTTTGACACAAAATTGAAAAGTTCTTGCATACGATATTAGGACCCTTCATCGAGTACTTCATTTACAAATTTTCATCACTTGTCCTTCACATTACTTATGTTTCTTCTTAATTACAATCCCTTTTTAATTCCGTTATGTCTGTCGACATAAGTAGCATACACTACATCAGTTGTTAAAAGTTGATATGGTTGAAGTTTACTTAATTCTCAACAGTCATAATGATTTTATTATTAATTATTAGTCAACTATCGATTATCACATGAATTTTCCTAGAAATTTATAAGTCCAATGATTGAACCTGATAATTTCAAGTATATCAAGTAACTAGTTACTAGATGAAATTTGCAATTCATCAAGTTGTTTTCCTTAGAGGTATGAGTTAATCATCTCAGTGTAGTTATAAGTGGATATCTTGTACAGATTACATTTCAGAAGTGTTGTGCTGTTCTCAATCATGAAGCTTTCATTATTTTTTTAAACATTATTATCAGCATGTTCTTCAAAAAGAACTAAGCTATTCAAATTAGTGTTAGTTTTGATTTCTCTATTAATTGACGAGTGACAAGGGTGCCAGACTTTGGAAAATTTTGAGTTTTTTTGTTTCTTTGGTTCAAAATTTCAACTTTTTCAAATGTACTCATATCCATGGTTATCCACTGGTATTGATATAAGCGAAACTATATCATGGCTTTCTGCAAGTAGTTGCTGTTCACTTGATCGGAAAGAAAATATATTCAGTAAATATTTCTTACATTCTTAAACAAATAAAAATTTTCATTCACTTGATGTTGTTTTACTTGTATCCTCCGATTGTTATTTAGAACTGAAATTGATCAGTCTCATGTTGACATATGTACATCCTATGCAGATTGCCTCGATATAGCCTTAAGTCACAAGATTTTTAAGCAAAGAGGAACAGTAGCTATCAGTAGAATCCAAGACGCACATTTCTACCTATTTGGGACTCGTCATCTGGATGTACCTGCATCGCAGAGTTGATGTTCCGTCCGGGACTCGAACTCATTACCATTCGCTTCAAATGCCATCGTGTTATCGACTTAGCTACTGAATCCTGTCGACCACCTGTTTGTGCAATGCGGTGAATTTTAAATTCACTTGATGTTATTTCACTTGTATCTTTCCATTGTTATTTAGGACTACAATTAATCAGGAAATAAAACAAAAGTTAACTAACACAGATTGCGTAATCCTTTTAAATAATCATTTTTATCATGAATTTTTCAACAATATCGTCTTGTTGTTTATTTGTTTTCTCCATAGAAACTTGTTTTTAAATTATTTGGTTCCCCCCCCCCGTTTTCATCTCATATTTAGGTCATCAAAAGAAACTTCTCACTGCTATTAATAAATTAAATCGTTTAATTTTATCATCCAAAATCAATGATACCACAATCGGTTGTTCACTTCAGAAAGATATTCATTTTATACCATCATCTACGTCTTCATTTATTCCAAATGATACTAGATCATCATCATTAGTAGTAAATTATGATTATTTAACAAAATTACCACAATATCAATCGAATCATAATGATGTTAATAAAACAAATGAAATAAAAAACAAGGAATATTGTCAACAATATTTAAAAGGTATGAATAAACTATTATTATTATTGTTTCATTTCAATAAAAGTAATCTACCTCATTTGTAAATGTGTTTAATATTGAAATTGCGCCATTTTCTAAATTGATTGATGATTACAATTGTATGAATGAGATTAATACATGATAATACTATAAATTTTGCACCTTATAAGTGAGAGTAGTCAGCGGTTCAAACAAATGCTTGATATTCAAAGAAGTGTTGGGAATAGTTGGACGAAAGTTAGGAGTGGCCAAACCAAAACGTTGCATCAATGCTTGATGTCACTAATTTCTAGTCTGAGCCATGTTGGTAGATGCAGACTACTTGGTTAGGGTCCGTGTGACTATCGTAACCAATGGTTGGAGATTCTTGGTGACATGGCTCAGAATCAATCACAGTGGCGTTGGTGTATACACTCTCTATCTTCCCTTAAACTAGGAGATTAAAATCACTTCACATCTTTCTTTCTACCAACTAATTCTTTCTTCTTGTACTATCTCCTTATTTTATATATGACCATCACTGAATTGACCACTTCTGTGAATCCGGTGTTCATCTTGCTGTGTTACTGAGGTATGGTAACTTGGACCGATGCATGTATGTGCCTGGTCCTACGTTGTAACTGACTGACTGACTGATTTAGTGATCGTTATGACCTTGAAGCACAACAAAAATAACGAACTAAAAATGAAACTGATCAATCAGATAATAATACAAATAGGGAGTTACTTAGATTAGAACAAAGTTACCAACGGTTTATTTGCATAACAGAAATGTTATTTGTTAATGAAAATTTAAAAACTCAGTTAATTTTAAACCTTCCTGGCAAGAATTCATGATAAAATTAAGTAAGCGGTTTTCTTCTATTTTGTTCATATAAGGTAACACAACAATGAGTATGTTAGGATTTAGAAAAATATTTTAATCCTACTTTCAAAATCTCAAACACAACAATATTAAAATTATTTAACATAGTCCGATTTCCCAACACCTATTATGCCAAATGAAGTCGAACAAGTTGGAAATGAAACCGGTTTTTACTCATTAATGATACTTGTGGGATTTTGTATTTAATTACAAGCTTATATAGGTGAAAAATGGATCATCGAATTATATTTATTAAAAGACTTGGAGGTTCAGTGTTCAATTTGATTTGATGGACCAGTTATCGTTATCAGTTTAACACCAAATGATAAGGGAAAGATGCTGATACGTGTACGATGTTAGTTAAGACTTAGCCTAACTTTCTATTGATTGAAAATCTAGTTTAAGTTTAAACGGGAACAGTTATATATTTATCCATCCGATTCAAGCTAGCCAATAAAAGATTACTACTCAATCTTAGTTCTCTCACCGAAGTATTTAGTTAGGCTTGTGTATTGAGAGCGTACATATCAGTATCAAACTATAACGACCATCTATGTAAGGTCTTAGGTGCACACTGATGACACATCTATCCGATGCAACGTGTCTTCTAACGTCTAGTCAGCTGATATCATATGAAGATGTAAAACTCCCTTTGTATTACTGTAAAAAAGTTTATAGAAAATCACCGGTTGCCCGACAATCATTTTATTATCCATCAAAATTGATGTATATAATGATTTAATTGATCTAGAGCATTCTACTTTCGGTTAACAACTAGAAACTTAATACTTTTAGATAAGTCGCATTAAAGAGAGTATTATTATTCATTGCATAAATATCTCTTCAACTTTTACATACAAGATTCCTGATAACGTTATGTATTGGGAATGATATAAATAAACCAAGATACGAAAACGGACACTCAACTAGTGCAGTTCATGGTAGATATTTCTCTTATGGTTTACGACCACTGACTAATATCACGGGAAGAAATTACTAATCAGAATCCAAATTTCTATAAACATGTATCGCTTTGTTGACCCATTTCAAATCTAACCAGCACTGGTAACCTTGAGTCAACTTCTAAGACCTTATTGGCACATGATTCGCTAGTTCCTCTCTCTTCCTTGCCTCTTGAGTCCATAAATTAGTAACCAACCTTCACCATATTAAATTTCAAGCAGACATAGTTTGTATACACGTGTACTTGGCCACACCAAACCATACAATGGAAAGTAGCAATTATACATGATCAATGTAGCTATGAGTAGGGGGTGCTGTAAAAACAATCAGTCGCATAGCAGTAGTTAATGAATCAATTGAAAGCTTATGATTAAGGTATATATATATCTATACAGAGAGAGAGAGAGAGTTAGATATAGATACATTTAATCACTAAGGGAAATGATTTTGAACAGATTGAAAGAAAAGTAGTTCATATTGCATAATCTTTCCTTATTTCAAATAAGATAAAATTTATCTGGAATTTTTCTTTGAAAAAAGAAACATCCATAAACATAACTCGTAAAAATAAATTTTTTTATCATTCACAATAGATATAAACACTTGAAATATAAAAATATCATAATTATTGCCACGCAACAATATGTAGATATATCTATCTAAATATGTTAGGCAGTTTTGTGAAGGTGTTTAATGTGTTTAAACATGGTTTCTATTCTGAACTGTTAGTAATTTAAGAATTGTGATACAATGTTTAAAGATTAGATCCAATAGTTAAGTTTATTCACTGATATTATGAAACGATCTAAGTTAGACCACCATTGAATAGCTTCTCGGTTTTCAAACGTAGTCTGATGTAGATCAGTTTATGATTTCAGCAAGAGATTGATCAATTGAAGTTCTAAATAACAATAGGAAAATACACCAAGTAAATTTCAACTAAATAGCTAGTATGAATAAAATCCCTAAATAAGTTTTCATACAAAAAAAACACTAAATAATTCCTATAGAAGAAAAATAAAATAGTCTACACTAAATATTATTTCTGTTTCTTACAAATGATTACATTAGAAAGTAGTTCTCGATATTATAGTGAGGCCAACCAAGTCGGAAGCCATTTATTTACCTACTAATGTCGCATTGGATGATCATCTCGTTATAAAATGAATAGAGGGAAGTTAACTGATGACTAAGTTACCTAGTAACATCATCATGTTATTATTTAACTTATTTAAGGTTATAGGCAAGCAGTTCTGAAGTATGACAAATTAAGACTAAAAAATCATCCAGGAATTTGCAGTTTTCTGTGATCAATCACTTTTCGTTAGTTCATAATGAAATTATCAAGGAGACAATACGAATTCAGAAAATTTGAGCGCTTTACAGCTGATTCATTTTTCTATTAAAATAATCGCTATTATAAGCGAAGATGGATGGTGGCTAGTAGTGGAATCTAGGACGCGTGTCTCGTCCAATTTATGAACAGTCAACTGGATGTACCTGCATCCTAGAGTTGATGCTCACCCTGGGTTCGAACCCAGTACCGTTCGCTTCAAACGCCATCACATTATCTACTTGCCTACTAAGTCCTGATAGCCACTTGCTTGTGCGATGGGGTGAAGTTTAAATTAACTTGATATTGTCTAGTTGTATCTTCCCATTCTTATTTAGGACTGCAAATGATCAGTATGTACAGTACACACATGCCAATAAGAGACTGATCAATTGCAGTCCCAAACATCAATGGGAAGATTCAAGTAAACAATACCGAGTGAATTAAACCTCTATTAGTCTGTAAAATACAAAGTAAAATATATTAAAATGCTTAATAATTAAACGATTTTTTGAATACTGTCTTTTGTATCCCAATGTTTTGCTCTACACCGTTCCACAGATAAATAGTTCGACTGTACTCCTTAGCACACAACGATAAAGCATAATCACGTGTACAGTTAATTAAGGTTATGATTCGAGTCTATCAGTAATGCTTATTTATTTATTAAGTTAATTAAATTCTTAAGTATTGGATGAACAGTAATAGAATCCACATTTTAATGATACTTAACTATCCAAACTGAAGAAAGATAGATCTTTGAAAATAGTGATCCTGACATTTTGACCACAAATAAACAGTTTCATTTCTTTGGAATTTCTATCTTAAGACAATGTTATTTGGATTTATTTTCTTTATAAAGTTTCAGAAATTGGGATACAAGTTGAAGAAAGTCAAACAAAATCACATACTTCACCGTCATCACCTTGCTCTTCTTCCAATTCAACAACCTCAGATTTATCATCAAATGATTCACGATATTCCCTTCCTCCGCCAGTTGATTTTCAAGACTCACCACCTAAATCATCGTCATCTACTTTTCCAACTATTTCATTAATTCATGATTCAGAACATTCAAATTCTAATTTACAACAATCTAATTCTTCTTGTATAATAAATGAACAATTAAGATCTAATCTTTCATCATGTACTACTATAGTTAATAACAATGTTCAATCTTCTCATTCATTGTGTAATATTCATAATCCCATAAATATGGATAACACATTAATAAACAAAAATTCAACATCTGTACGCTTCAGTAATTTTGAGTATCATAAAGAAGAACAATTGAATAAAGTTGCACAATCGAAAATATTTCAAAGGCGTTCTTCCAATCCTACATTATATTCACTGAAACCTAATGATCCTGTACAAAATACTAGCGATTTATCAAAATGGTCCTCAGGTTAGTAGTAGTAGTAGTAGTAGTAGTAGTAGTAGTAGTACTAGTACTAGTAGTAGTAGTAGTAGTAGTAGTAGTAGTAATATAAAGATTTTTGGTTACATTAACAATTTAACTATAAAGAGGTAGGATTGCTTTTGTTGATTAATTGTTTTGACATAGAAATAGATTTTAGCTAAAATTCAATTCCTAAGATTTGATTAAATGAAAAAAAGATTTTTTGTTTTTATAATATAAAAGCTACTTGTAACATAGTGTTACACAATCAATGCTGGATAATGTTATTTTATTTGAAAAATGATTGTTCAGTTTATATGAGAAACTTGTTAACGTTACTTGGTTGAATTAATTTAGTTACCTGCTTTTTCAGCAACTGAATTCAAACGGGTCTGTTGTGAGATAGTAACTCACTGAAAACAGTGGTGGATGTGTCACTCGATTTCGTGGATTAGTTGAAATTAGACTGTAACATCACTGAATACCGGTCAGCTCAGTGATTTAGAGGTTAAGAGTTCGCGTGCGAGACTGATAGGTCTTGAGTTCGAATCTCACGAGGTGAGATCATGGATATACACTGCTGATGAGGCCCACAATAGGACGAAACAGCCGTTTAGTGCTTTTAAGTTTTCCATAGTGATCTAGCTTCATATGACTCATGATCTCGACTAATAAAATAAATGTTCACTAATTGAACAAAATCTTAAGTGTAAACTATTCGAATTCTAACTCATTAATCTAAAGATATCATACTTATTAAGAAACTTAAAAGTATATCATGAATCTAAAATGGTTCAAAGTCACAATGTAAAATGCTAAAACCTATTCAGTTCAACTTTATTTTCAGTGACTCCCCTATTCCATTACAATCTGAAAAATAAACTACCCTTTCAATATTTGATCATATATGATTTTCCTTACTGAGGGCTGATTTCATTCATAATATGTTTCAGTTTACTTGAAGATTCTTATATTCAAACAAATATCTAATGACCTTTTTTTAAAATATTCTGATCTTAAATATGCAGTTCATAATTATTTAGGAATCTAGTAAATTTCTTTTATAAATTAACTTTTATTATTTATTTCAACACATAAATATATATGCGCCACACCATATTTGTGTGTGTGCGGGCTGTGATACTGCTCGGGTGCCCAGACCGAAGCAGGTGGTTTTCTTAGGGGGCCATACCCTGAGCCTTTAACCTAAATGTCTGACCCACAAGGCAGTGGAGCATCGTGAGGAGACGCATTCCCATGGTAGCCGGTGACCAACGATTGGTTCATACGTCATTTGTTCCCTTAGGATACAGGAGCTCATGTCACCATTGGTTTGGGATCCGGTTAAAGCGCTGGACATTCGCTTTTCGTCGTCTCGTTTTCGTAAACGACACCCCCACCACGATATGAGAAAGGATTGGAATAACGTATGTACATATATATTCGATGTACTATTCGTTTTCTAAAGATGATTTTCATTGCAAACGAATGAGTTTTTAGACTGATTGGATTACCTTATTTATTCTAGTTACAAGACTATTTTAAATGTGCTTCTACTTTACATCAGATAATGTTCAACAGTTTTAGATATCATAGTGAGAAACACACTGTCTATATTTTCAATTCAAGTCACTTGTTATAGATAATAGCATCATTCCTTGGCACAGTTGACTCTATTCTCCATGAAACTCAAAAACTTTAATTAATATCCGGTCATTAGAGTGAATACACAGTTTTCAAGGTTATAGGCAATTCATAAGAATTTGTGTAGTATGAATACAGTTTTCCAAACGAAATGATATCAGTTCAAGTTTTAATAAAAACTAGGACACATGTGACTGGGATTTCATTATAGTTTGGGACTTTCCAGTTAGTCGATGGATGGTACTTAAGAGTTGACTGAAGTGAAAACTGAATTGTCGGGATTTTTAAAACCTTTCTAAACGTTACGGTTACTAGGTAGTTTGGAAGTTTCAGATTACAGCTGGTTTAGATCTGTGGATTCATAGTACTTGTAAATTTAATATAATAATAAGATACAATCTTCAGTCCCTCCTTTAATAAATTTTCAACTGATATAATTGCATGATGAAAATCAGTTGAGAATTAATCTCAAGTGACAAAATTAATACGATTCTTTGCTTCTTTAACCGAACTGGAGACTATCAGATCTTAATAGAATGTCTGTAGTCTTCAGGCTACTGAGTCACTATCTAGTAGATAACTTAAATTAATCTGTATGATGATGATGATGATGACGTGACAGTGAGGAGGAAATGAAAAGACAAAAGAAGATTTTGATTATTCTCCCCCTTGTTTTCCTTTCAAGATTGGCCACATTGCAACATGATTGAGAGCATTCGATCTGCACTAACAAGGACTAGACACGCATGACATTGACCACTACCCAGTGATCAATCAACTGTGATTACATCTCAGTCCTACAGTCGCGGACCGGATAGCTTAGTGGTAACGTCTCTGACTGTGAAGCTGAGTGACACGAGATCGAGTCCGCCAGGGAGCACCAGTTCCCTCAAGATTACAGGTACACCTTGCTGACGAGTGCCAAGTAGCACGAAACCCGCGTCCAGGGTTTCCTGTCGACTACCTCCAACCACCATATAAATGTTTTTGTTCTTCATCCAGCCCTTTTTTACATAAATATGTTTTGTTCTTTTTTATTAGATAAACACATACTGAAAGATTTCAATATTGTTTATAATAAGTTGATAATAATAACTTAACTATTTTCATCTTACTGAGTTTCCCAAAGAACTTTATTCTAATTTACTAAATGTATATGTTCATTAAACTGACGATGGTGGTGATGATGATGATGATGATGATGAATCATTTCTCTGTCTATTACTTTCACTTAATGCATTATACAGTAATATATATTCATATAAAATTTATATTCATTTATTTATGGTCGTATAGATGTAGCATCATGGGAAGAATAAATTTATTCTAAATAATTCAATGTTTTATGACTAATTACATTCTCTTCATTTCTGTTTTCAATCGGTCCATTAATCAATGCTTATATATTGTTACCCATTAGTGTTTAGATAAAGGTTAGCTAAGATTGGACAAGATGTCTTCGTTTTATGTTTTATACTATTTAAGTAGTATAGTTCATTGAAAGTAATTTTCTTCTGATGTAATCGAATTTATGGGATGCCACATTGTGTCATATTCATGAAGTCCTTGTTTCTGATTGAATTCCATTTATCACATCGCGGTTTGGTCGTAAATATGTATGGACAAACATTGAGGTCTACTGTGTTTAATGTTGTGTGATTGATTGGGATTGAAATATGTAGAAAGAACTTAGTCAACTCTATAGACTAACCAAACAAACTAAGTGACCAGTTAATCTTCTTGTCCTAAAAAAGGTCACTTGACGTATGAAAATATCAGTAATTATGTCTCTTATCGTGACTGTAGAGGTTTAGAGTCTAAATTGTACGGAGAACATTAGTTTTTTGAGGTAATTGGTATATCTTTCTGATAAGTACCAAATAACATGATAAATAGATCAACCAAGGATTTCTATGAGTTGCATTCGACTACCTAACATCATACGTTACCGATATGTCAGTCACAAACTTGAATATTGATGAGAATGAAGTATACTGAGGAATTAGTGGCTACAGTTTAGCATTACTCTACTCAAGTACATTTTATGTGTTGACAAATTAAGATTGTATACTTATAAATTAAAAAAAAAACATTTTGGCAACCAACCATTTTAATTGTCGCGATTTCCTATTTTTGTTGCAAATATCTTAAGATTGAGTTGGCAGCTGTTAAAGTTTCCGAATCTCAGCTCATCCTTTTATCTGAATCCAGTATTCACTGGGTTTTACTGATATTCCTAAAGACTCATTCTGTGGTGAATTTTAATAGAATTGAAATGAACAACAACATGTATACAATGAATAATTCTACTAAATTGTCAGATTGTTTTATCTTGGAATAAACAAACATCCAGTTAGTTAAGTTTATGTTGAGATCATATACATCAGATTTTTGTGATAAGTTGTTATGATTGGACACACAATTTACAACGAAAGTTTCTTGATGTGTTTTGTCAACTTTTAAATGCCAGTTATTGATATTTTTTCTTGATTAGGTCTTTTAACAACTCCACAACTACGACTTCCAATCAAGTAAGTTAAACATTTTGAAACAATTTTTTTAAGTTGATTCGAAATATATCGTGCTGTTTCAAAGATATTCTGTTGAAGTTTGGCCGTGAAATCCGGAACGCGAACTCCATCCTATTTGGGGCTCGTCAGCTAGATGAATCTGACTCTCAGAACTGACGTTCAATTCGGGACTTGACCCCAGTACCATTCACCTCAAACGCAGTCTTATTATTCACTTAGATACCAAGTTCAGATAACTGCTGACTGATGCATGAGCGTGAAGTTTCTGATTTATTTTTATTGGTTGTCTAAATATTCCGATTGATGTTTAGGATTGGAATTGATAAGTTTTGGTTGGAATATATGCATCTCGTGAGTACAACTCGATGAGGTTTGATGCTAGCAGTACTGAGTTAGAGTCCTGGAGTTAATTTCAACTCTGGAACGCAGATACAACGAAATAGGCGTCATAAATTCCATTGCTAGCCACCATTCATTTCCGCCTGCAATGTTTGTGAATTAATAGCATTATCGGGGCAATCTGCACAGAATGAACATATGCCATTTAGAGACTGATCAATTGCAGACCTGAACATCAATGAAAAGTTACATTTGCACTTGGAAATACAATTTTTCTATTCGTTAGGATATAACAAAAATATATTTATTATTAATGGAAAGATTTCAACAACCAATACAAGTGAATTATTCTGTTGTAGCTAATACATTAGTTTAGGTTAGTCAGGATAATGAGTTTTAAGATAGGTAACTGTACTGAATAAAATATCTTAAACAGTCTTAGCTTCGACAGCTTGTGAAATGAAATAAATATTGTTTACTGTCAGGATTTTCATTTCGATTTTTTATTGCTGTGACTCAGAAATAAATTGATAAACCTTTTTGTGCAAATGGGCACCCTGAATGAAAGACACATTATTAATCACACTGACAAGTTGAGAGTGGTTAGGAATAGAATTTAAAAGACACATTCCGATCTACTAAAGACTTATCAGCTGCGTACTTCATTATTGATGTCCTTACTGAATCCTCTATATAAGCGATGGATGAATACAAACCATTTAACAAATTTCAAACACATAGTTCCCTTTATTATCTGAATATCATATCCTAGTGCACAACATTGTTGTATTTGAATTTATAAGTACCAGATTCAAATTATAATAGAAACTTCGGAGGTTAATTGCTGTATGGTCAAATGTGTGCATTTAGAAGAATGACAATAATTTAAAAACCCTTGTTTAACTTCGGTATCATTGCTTTTCATCCTGGAAACCTCTTAAGAATAAACTATCCTACACAATTAGTTGTCTCTATAAATTCGAATGAAGATAGAAAGACTACTGAAACAGAATGTAAATTGATCACTGATTGGGGATTCTCTTGAGTTGCTAACGATGTTATTCGTAAGGAAAGACAGCATAATAATACTACATCATGAACAATATTGCTTGTGAATATATATATATATATATATATATATATATATATATATATATATATATATATATATATATATATATATATATATATATATATATTGTATAAATATTCAGTACCTAGATTATATATATCTACCTTCCTCTTATTATAAGCTTCATTTTGATCTATAGATTATTATTATACGACTTACTGTTCTTAAGTTATGTTCAGTTTATTGATTACAGTCTCCCACAATCACAGCCACTTTTCCGCTTGATTTAGCATAAATGTTAATTTCTATTTTATGGAGTTATGCGGTCTGTTTGGTCGATATATAAACACAGTATGTTTAAAATATGATTCGCATAGTGTTAGCTGGTATTGGTGTTCTGGACTCAAATGAACGGGCTAGATGAATAAAGGATCAATAAGGACGCTATCCTGCTCATACCGGTCAAACATCATTTGTTTGGCACAGCAGTACTAAGACTGTATAGGTTGAATTTCGATTGTTGAATGAATCACGTGATAACTAGCCGGGCTTAAAGTTACAACAGATAACCTTCTTAAAATTTGTAACAACATCTTACTAATACAAACCTCTTACAGACAATATTTTTTCCATCAATTCAATCATCTTATATCCTTGAAAAATTTCAATAAATTTAAGTTGACTAGTTGGTTATCCCAACTAAATTACAATAAACAATCACAAAACGTTTTATTCTAATTTACTCAATAAGATGTTCCATCCCTTCTCTTGTTATAAATAATCATTTCCTTATATGTTTTATTTATATATAATTTTTATAGTGTCAATTCTAATTCTGATCCAGATTTGGAAGCTATGCACAATATACAAGTTATGCTTGATCAAATCAGTGAACGCCTTATCTTAACTAATAAATAGTATTGGAATGTGAAATGTCTAATTGGCAACAAATGAACATAAATGGTTCAGCTCTATCAATTTAAACAAGAAATTAGGTTTATGATCATTGATTGTTTAAAACATACACTTAGTCAACTGATTTATTTCATTTAATCATTTTTTTTTTGTAAAAAAAAAGAAGACATTTACTGATACCATATTATCATTATGTAAACATTAAATATTATACTTCTTATTTGGTTATTTTATCACACGATTTATTTATCGTGCCTTAACTATTTCTAAAGATAGATTTAATGTGGATTTGGTCTGTCAATAAAAGATTTTCAATTTGGAGCGAGAATATATATGGACTTGTCAATGACAATTATTTCAATTCATCCCTAAAGTATACTCTCAGCATTATATCTATCCAACTTGATTTCATATTTTAACGCATCATCAACCCTTGCCCTAAATTTCCTTTTGTTCTCCCTCCTCTTTGTACACCTTTGTTTTTCTCACTTTTGTCTGTTATTACATGCTTGTGTATGGGTTATTTTTCATTTCGTCTTTTTTTAAAATATCATTGTTAAGTAGTACGTATCATGTATCCTTTTAAGGTATTTTGGCGGCAAAATAATGTTCCAATAAAACGAAACACCTTTTTCTTACTGTTTTTATCATATGTAAAATATCATACTCCTTTTGGTGTGTGATTTCTTTGTTCAATAGGTTAACAGAAGAAAATAGTTGTTTATCCTAAACTTATTTTATGTATTAAACCATTTACGTGAAGAAAAGGATTAGGGTATTATTTGTTTGACAATTTTATCAATGATTAAATCATTTTTCATCAAAGAACAAATATAATTTTCTTTAAGCCATTCGTATTAATTGTACATTGAACTGGATATTATTTATTTTAAACTTGACCATATCAGAAACACGGTTGACGTTAGGAGTAATGTTTTTAATGGTGTGAAAGTGTGTTGAATTCAGGAATTTCGATCATTTCTCCTCCCATTTAATCAATGAGTACTCCATGGTAGAGCGTAAACTTTACCAACGGTTTTACTGCAAACGTCTGGCGTTATTTAAAACCGACTAGTGTGAACATTTCATTTTGTCTCAGTGGATAGTAAACGTAAACAGAGTGAGAGTTAGTACTCCTAAAGTAAATTCCTGATGAAGAATACACTTTTGTGTGTGATACTTTCCCATTAGAATGAACGGAAAAATGACCAGATGTTGGACACACCCTTTGGAAATGTTGCAGATAACCTCACTCGCTTAACAGATATAAATACGCAAATAACTTGTTCTCGCCTGTTTTTTCCGACATTTATGAAGACAAGGAACTTTTTAAACCAAGTTAAATGTTGTAATGAACGAATTCTTGATTAGTGGATCGATTTATTATACAATACGAACACATTACAGTAAATGCTTAATTTGCCCACCTTTCTTGAGTTGTCTTTTACAAGCCCTATTTTTCTTCCACTACTGTTATTATTTTGATTGCTTTCTGTTTTCCTTTCTCTTCTATTCATTTTCCCCTTCTGTCTGTTAAAATTCTACTCTCGATTGCCGATGCGTACGACTTATATTTGCTTACTTATATTTGCACCCCACACTGTCACTTGTTTCTTTCACTGTACAAAACAAATTTCAGGAAAAACAGAGTTTTATGCTAACACTCTCTCGAATGTTTAATAGTAGACATTATTTTAAAAATTATAGTAGAGCTTTTCTCACCAAAGGTGAGTATTTCTATTTTCTTAGTTCAGTAGTCAAACAATCAGTGTTCACCAAGAGATCTAAATAGTTCTATGAAAACTACCAGATAGGGTAGCCTTACATTACAGAGATGCGTAAGTCTTGTCTTGTTTAGTTCTATGGCTTGGAAATTGTTATGGCTGCGAGGCGAAACACTGTAACGCCTATTTTAAAAGTTCAAGCTTGTTAATGTATATCCTCATTTAACTGTATTAATGTAAACATGCGTATCTAAGACTCTTATTGCAGGTAATTGGTGTACAATACTCTCAGGGGTGAAAAAGCCTGGCGATTCTTCAAATAAGTAAGACCCATTGCACCCAAGATGGACAAAAAACTACTTCGGGGGAGACGCTGTTGTACTCTGATAATGAAGAAACCAACTGCCCCGCAAACACAAGGCGTTGCACCGATGTTTTCCAAAGAAGAACTAAGTTTAACGTTTCACTTGGTTCTGAGCCGTAACAAGCATCATCATAAAGAATGGGTCTCTATGAAAACCCTGGACAAGATTCGAGAAAGGAAGAACGAGAATGCGGCAATCAACAACAGACGAACAAGAACAAAGAAAGTCAAGGCACAGACTGAATAAGCAGCAGACAAGCAAGTAAAGAGGAGCATGTTAATGTATAAGCAGTAATGTGTGGAAGACCTAACAACGACAGCGGAAAAAGCTGCAAGGGGGAAATATCAAACAACTATATGACACGAAAAAGAAACCAGCAGGGAAATATGGTAATTCAGAGAGACCGGTCAAGGACAAAGAGAGCAAGCTAATCACTCAAATGCAAGGACAGAGGAGCAGACGGCGGGGACACTTCGAGGAACTCTTGAATAGACCAACTCCAATGAATCCACCGGATATCGTAGCAGTACCTACAGACCATTCTAGAGATGTCACTCCACCAACGATCGAAAAAATCAGGATAGCCATCAGAAAAATGAAGAATGGGAAAACAGTACGAACTGACAATATACCAGCCGAATCTCTGAATTCAGACTTAAATGTAACTACAATCATGTTCCACATTCTATTCAGGAGGATTCGGGAGGAATAGTAAGTACCACCGACAAAGTGGAAAATAGGACACCTCATCAAGATACCAAAGAAAGGAGATCTGTACAACTGATCGGACTACGGAGGAGTGACACTACTATTGGCACCATGAAACTTTTACAACAGTGTTGCTGGATCAGGTAAATGACTCAGTAGACGCCGAACTTCGATTCTGTAGGGATCAGTTGTGCATAGACGAATTTATGACACTACATACCATCGTTGAACATTCAAATGAGTGGAACTTAACACTATACACCAACTTTGTTGACTATAAGAAGGTATTTGACAGTGTAGATAGGAGAACCTCAGGGAACCTTTTTCGACGCTATGTAGTGGGTAGCTGAGATAATCGTCTATGTCATACGGAATTCATACGACGGACTACACTGCAAAGTCCTGCATTGGAGACAGCTGACAGACTTTTTACAAGTGAGAACCAGTGGCCGACAAGATTACTTACCCTCTTTGTTATATCCTAGCAAAGATTAAATTACGAGTAACTTCTGAGACCTTTTATTAGACTAATATTATCTATACATTCTTATGGTATAACTATTCAGTAATTATATTATGTATATTTACACTCCTCTTATTATGAGCTTCATTTTGACAGATAATTTATTATTATACGATTTGCTGTTATTAAATTATGCTCAGTTTATTAATTACTTTCTTCCATGTTCACAGCTACATTTTGGCTTTATTGAGTATAAATGTTATTTCTTATTTAATGGTGCTTTGCGTTCTGTTTGGCTGATATACAAACCAAATATGTCTAAAATAAACGATTCGCATAGTAGATGCTGTTGTTGGCATTCTGGACTCAGCTGGACGGGCTAGGCGAGCAACGGACCAATATAACGCGAAGCTGATCAGACCGAACGAACGTCATTGGTTTAGTACAGTACAAGGGCGAATAAGTCGCATTTTGATTGCCGAATAAATTACTTGATAACTAGCGGGCCATAAAGACACAAAACTCCCACTTTCCCTTTCTTCTGGGGGTCGACTGGGTTATCAAGACCTCCACATCTTGAGGGTAAGCACAGAATACAATGGACAACTTGGATTCAGCTTTTCAGTTCGAACCTAACCGTTCAATACCGTGAACAGAAACAAATGCGGGACACAATCAACGTATCGGCATCCTCTATAGCAGTAGGTCTCAACATAAACATGGAAAAAAGCAAGGTCCTCAAAACGACACAGAGTATATCAACTCAGTCATACTTGACGGAAAATCTCTGGAAAAGGTGGAAAGCTTCAAGTACCTGTACAGTATGATTGATAAACGAGGAGGATCGGGCATGGATATGCAAAGTAAGGTGAGCATCCCTACAAATGAAGAAGATTTGGGACTTAAAACAACTGTCACCCAACATCAAAGTCAAAATTTCCAATACAAACGTGAAGGCAATTCTGTTTTACGGAACTGAAACTTGGGTAACTGCCATAACAATCATCAAAAGTTACAAGAACTTATAAACAGTTGAATACCTTAAATACATTATTGGCAAATGATATGGACTGTATATTTGTCGATTATCTTTAGGCAACAATTATGGGAAGAAATTTCGTAAAATGTCATAATTTTGCAATATAATCCGAGAACGAGATCGTTAGGTATGGAACTAACTCACCAGCAAATTTCAGAGTTCTCGTAGCTTTAAATATGCACACTGATAAACAACCAAATTGACGAATATAATTCACCATGGTGAAACGAATAATTCAAATAAATTCTGGCTTAGTGAGAGAAAAGTTATATACACTGAGGTATGGGAACTCACAAATGTTCTCTGACAGTAACTCAGCAACCTGAAGAATTCCAACTGAATGCCAAAAGAGATGAAAAAAGGGCCACAGCTTATCTAATTTCTCGAGAAAGGAGGTGGGATGAACACATGACTGTGTAGACAAGTAGCGTTATTGTTCATAGTTCTAAAAGCGTTGAAATGTCAAGTTATTGAGTAAATGGGAGGGCTTACTGAATGAACTCTTTCACGAGGCGCAAAATAGTTTGAAAGGAGAGAGGTCTAGTGTCATAAATACTGTTAACACAAGAAGCTCGGACAGATTCTGGGAATCAAATGGTGCTTGAGCATACAGTATTTGTAAATTCGGTAACATATTTGGCACTGTGTCACAAATAGTCCTTCTAGCAAAAATATCCTAAACACAACCTTTTCTTGATCTGGATCTCCTAACTATGGGAAACCTTAAGATCAGTATGGTGATTAGGAGTATTTGAATTATAGTATGAACTAAGAATCCCTGAAATAACGCAATTGGATCAAGAAGTACTAGATAAGTACTTACGAATGTACTGTATTAGGAATTCAAAATCAAGCATTCGACAAATACGAAGGGGTCATTAGTTCATTCAAACACCACAACGGGCCATGAAAAAAATATAGTTTCTGGGCTATTGGGGAATAAGATATTTAATAGGGTCATATAACACTTGAAAACACTGGGCATAAAAAATCTGCATAAGGAGGTATCGGTAATCCATTGTCATCAATCACTGTAGCCAGTGAGGTTTGGCACAGTTGATACGGATCTTATTTCAAGGGTTAATTATAAGTCAAAAATTCCCGTTTCTAGCATCAGGATAGCAGGGAAGCTGTAGACGACACAGGACAACGAATCTTAGAATAATGTGTACAACATGGATCGCTCAACTCAAACACGAAGACCGAGTCTCCAACTAAGCATTCAGGATCACACATTTATCTAGACTCCTATTCCCAGTAAAATTACTAATCATAGATTTAACAGGAGAACGAGACCAAAAACTGCCCGAGGTTCTGATTACTGATGTGAAACAACGCTAAAATGGTAATTGTGACTCTTGTCTGTCGCTCGATAAAACGGGCAATTCAACATTTGATTGATTTCTTCTGTGTCTGGGTCAACTGTCGATGTAATACTACAGTTCCTAGTGAGTACTACGAGTACGTGTTAAGTCACCCCTGTCCGTGGTTCTCGTACACTCACCAGAGTGTAGAAAAAATATGCAGACGGAAATAACAAAAGACTCAATTGAAAACAACCACACCAATCCCCATTATTATATCTAGTTTGCCCAACACAAGCATAAGCCACAACCCGAACTCAGACTACCGTCTATTGCTAACACACCAATATCCGTTAGCAGTTAGTGAATGTTGAGAAAGTCAGTGGCAGAAGCACAGCTCCGAGACGCTAAAAATCGGGAACAAAGACGGAGAAAACCCCCTGATTTTAATCAATGTTCCAGTGTCGGCAAGTAGCATACTAAAACGTCAGCCTCTGATAAAGAGCAGTGGGACAAATACTTAACCACACTGTGGAAGGGTACAAATCCAGCCAAACTGTGCCGCCTGTGTATAGACCATAATTCAGTGAAAAGCAGTATCCCCTCTAAAGATGATTTCAGATTCAGTAGACGTTACAGAAGAAATCTTATGGACATCCAAAAGACCATCGGTCAAACGGTCTTCTCAAGTCCGAGTTAGATACAACGAACCATGGGCTGTAATAGATTTAGATTGAAGATCAGGAAAACCCATGAAGCAACTAGTATGGCGGTTAAAAGAGTGGCTTAGTTCGTGTGTGGTTGTTGGGACGGAGCTTACGAACACGATATGCAACAGTGGCGTTGGTTATCACTTGGCAAGGATCTCCACACCACCACGATAATTACTATATCCGGGCTACCTCATCCGTGACGCCTGACGACAATTAAGTCTCTATATCTGATAGCTATGAACCATAGAAACCGAGAAGACTTAACTAATGGACTTCAGACCTGGCACAACTCCAAGAATGACCTCTTATGTCAAGTCACATGTATGAACTGACCTACATCGCCAATACAATAACAGAAAAAGCAAGCCGATAATACCTTGGCATCGGTTGACTTCACTCGGAAACCCATGATACAGGGGGTAGGTACCAAAGTCCCACTTATGGGACACATTGTAAAAGCAAAAGACCTACGACGGTTAGTTCCTACAAAACTGGTTAACCTAAATTCCACGACAACTTCTTTAAAAACTCGAATAAAGGCGCTGTTGTAGTGGATCACGAGGTGACGAGACAGGCTATCTGGTACCTAAATAAAAACGTAGGGGGACAAACAGTATATTAAGAGAGATCACAAGTATGTCTTCAGTTGGATTTGAAGATCACAGTCCTAACTGATACATAACTATCTCTTAACATCACAAACGATGAAATGAGCTTTCAAGGGATAACCGTTCCTCCCTTTGACCGGCTGTGCCTGATGCACTTTTCGCAATTTACCTACTGTCATTATTATCACATATCAGTAAATACCGCCTACCTCACTAAATAATGTCTCAATCTTTCCTCTTCATTCTTGCACTTCATCCTCTTCACACTGCCGGGATTACTAACTAATCAGCTTATATATTTATTTAGTTAGTATGTTCAGGGAGTCTTCTTTTAAAAAATTTAAAGCAATTAGGCCCTTTGATAAATTTCGATAATGTAATACATTATCGATATTTAGTTAGTTCCAACAACAATTGTCTCCTCTTATCATCCGAATTTCCGCTTTGTTATTTTTCACATGGTAATCAACCAACCTCCTAACTGGTAATGTGACAGCTACCAGAGTCTGGAAACACTAATGACCTGAGAAAAACGCAGTCAGTCAAACCGCAAGATATACAAATCCATAAATAACTACCAAAGGGACGAGAATTAGTGCAGTCGAATGGTTAGACTTTCGCTCACTGGTCACTACCAGATACCTGAACCGTACTGAAACAATAAGAAGCGACAGCAGAGAAGTCCATTGTTTATACTAGCTTATGACAAACGTATTGGATATTGGAATTTGCTGCGAAGATCGATTGAATTGAGCGGGGCTTACCAAAGTGACGGTGCTGAATCGTACTGATCAGTCTCAATCATGCTTCACTTGGATCCTACCCATTTTGAAGATGTTCCACCCTCTTCTAATGCTTCAACAGAATACGAGACAGTGGATGATGAGGTTCAGATTGTTAGTCGCATTATAGTACATGACTTATATTCTTTTAGGATTTGGGAAGTTATATTTCGAACTACCAGGGATACATATACTACCAGCGCCTCTTTTTTATTGCTCAGCGGTGCCCTTCTTTGCGTGTTGTAGCACTGCGCCTTGCACACGATTACATCAAAAAGTCTACATTGGACACCTCCGCATACAACAAAATATTTTTAATGTTAGCCGAGCAGGTAGGTAGTTTAACATTTCTCTTGATTTTTGTCCTTTTAAATGCAAATATGTCAAGATAGGCGCTTTTGACACTAAAAGTGTCGTCAAGTTATGACAGCGTTAATTTGGTGGCTTAACTGAACGTCAAAACATATAGTTTATCGCTCATCAATTTCTGCTATTAAGCAGCATAAAAATTTGGTTGTTTCAGAACAACAACTTATCAGCAGTTCTTGTGTATAGTTTTCGTCATTTAGATACGGGGTTTTTGTCGCAAATACGTCCTAGTTGTTTGTTATTTTAAAGTTACGCATTTTTAAGCTAGAAAATTCATTTTGACTAGTATGTTCAGCCCAGTGTTTCCTATTAGTTCAGGTGGTACTTTGCGTGTAAAGTTGTATGATATACTTCGGTGCTCTGTATTTAAACGTCAAGAAAATGGTCTTCTCACCGTCTTAAACAACAATAGAATCTATTGCTTCAGGATTAGTCTGAGTCAACCCCTAAATTAAGTAGTTGAGCGTGTTGATCACTTCAATTGGAAGTTTCGTCGGCCATGGTGGCTTGGTTTCTGATGAGGTCTGTGTGCAAATTCAGAAACCCCGTTTTAGTTTTGCCAACATGCGTCACTTGTAGCCTAGACAAGAAGTCCTTTTGTCAACTTAAAGACTAGTTTGCTGTGCAGTTCTCCTCGTTCCACTCTATGGCCATGAAACCTGGTCTTTAAAATTAGGGAATATTCGTAAGTCGCTAGTTTTCTATCATATGTGTCTTCGAAGTGTGGTTCATGTATTCTGGAACTAACGAGCTAGTAGTTTTGATGTTATACTCAGATTACTACTTAATTATAGCGAAATTGAGGTATTGAGCGTTCGACTTAGATGACTAGAACATATATTATGTATACTCATATATCAGCTCACTTGATGTTCGATGGTGACGTGTAGAATTAGGTTGAGAGGAAGCTGGGGGCTAGGAAACGAATATAAAGCTCCAGTCCATGAAGACATGGACCATTGAATTGAGCCTTATAAGTAGGTTCAGACCACTCGATTGAGGTCCGCGTGATTATCATAACCAATGGTTAAAGACTTTGAACGACATGGTTCAAAATCAATTGCAGTGACTCGAGTTTTTAAATTCCGAAATGTTTTTATTTCATCAATTTATATCACCATGAATCGTATCTTCAATGTCTAATCTCTTCTATTACCACTAATGCTGTGACTACCTTGAATACTCCGGGATTTTCCCCAATAATTTCATCTCTCTTTGCTAATGTGGTACGGCAATCCAAACTAGTGTACCCATATACTAAGTCCTACGTTGCGTATAGCTGATTGACTAGTGCTCTATTTTGTTCACGTGCTAGCTTTATTACCATCTTGTTTATGTTCGATCTTTATATTTTCCTTCGCAACTTAATCATACAGACATATAAACTTTCCGCTGACTAAATAATGGTACAGAAAAATCAGCTTGACGTGCTAGGATGCTCTATCAATAGTCACTTTGAGACAACAATGTAAAAGTTTCATCATGAATTTGCAATTGCACATATTTGGTGTTAATCGGTGCTGATACCGTAGCATGCTCTTAGTAGTGTCACGTCATAAAACTAAACTAACTATAGATTGTTCAACAGCCGAAAACAATAATGAATTTTAGTGAGTGATAAGAATTGAGGTAAAATCAGTCCAGTTATTCCCGGCTAACTCAGTTCTGCAAACAAGAAGTATTAGAAAAACTGCAGTTTTGAGGTCACTATTAACTTTAGTAGTCGCCTGTTATATTAAACGACTGAAAATTTATGCTGTGCAAAGAGAACATTTGCATTAGGCCTATACGGCTTTCAGCCACCTATAAGCTGTGCAATACAACCTACTAATTTTTAAATTATCTGTAAGGAACGTAATTAACTCTACCAAACTGAGTCGGGTAACGATTGTGAGCTTGTTAAACGACAAACTACTGAAACCAAGCACCAGCAAAGATTCAAGAAATCAAACTGTTGACACCAGTTACTGACTAGTATTTTCCACCGGGTTTGTTGCTAAGTAACTTTTCCCCTACCAAGAATCTTATGTTTTAAATAAGAGTGAATTCCTTGTTTGTTTTTGAGGAAAGAAATAAGCTTACGTATAACAGGTGGTGTGTGGCTGGTAGTGGGACTTAGGATGCGGGTTTCTCATTTGGGACTCATAAGCTGGATTCACCTGAAATAATAAAGTACTATTAACATGATCAAAACAAAGTATCTTATGGTAATTTCATCTAACTACTAAATAACAAATTTTCGTACAAGTCGACTATAAAACTGGTGACTTCGAATTACGATTTATGGTATGTAAACCTAATATTCAAGCTGATTGGGCTCGTATTAAATGTCCATGCCATTTTTTATATCTAATTCACATTAGTTGCATGTAAATAGAATCTGAGATACTGATCAACCTTTTGCAGTCACAAGGCTCAGTTTTTCAACTGTTTTCTCTTAACATACTGAAACCAACTTTTTAAAAATATTTCGGCAAATTCTGTTTTATAACTAATGGCTTGTCATTCGATATTCGTATTTACCAAAATATTTTTGCTTTATTAGTTGACTAAGCTGATTATGTTATTTTGTTCCTCAGACAAACTTTTCTGTAGCTGACTCATCAGCATCCGGTGAGACTTCTAGGCAACAACAGCAGTCGGCTTTCTCAATGCGCCTTATCACAAACAATCACCTTTCAGATGGCTTGTCTTTATCTAATCCAAGTGAATTAGGAGTGCTGGGTTCCTCTCTTACGGAAGCTTCCAGAAATATTTTAACTGAGGTCATGTCCGGAAAAGTAAGTTACCGATGCATAGGTATTGTTTAAAATAGTTTATTTGATTATGATTTTATCGTACTTTAAATATAGTATCCCAAATTTCATAGCAATACATGTCTTTAGTATTGCGATTGATTTTCAACAAATTAACTTCCTCGACAAATAGTTCTCCTAGATAAAATATATACTGGTCGTCATTGTTCTCTTTTTTTATTCTTTCTTATACGCACCTTACATTCTTTTTCTCTTCCCATTCTTATTGTTATTGGGTGGCGCATATATATCTGGTGCCCCCCTGTACCAATATTTATGTGTTCAAATAAAATAATTGAAATTATCCATATAATTTATAATCCCATCCATAGAAACCTATGTGTTGATATGATTCATCATCAATGGTGGTATTATTTTATGTAAACTATGGATTTTGGATAATATATAAATAGATTACAACTTATTATAATAACACAGGCAGTGTTGTTTTTCGTTTATTCTCTTTAGAAGTACAACCATTGAAGCTATTTAAGAGATTGGCACAGTTTTTGTATTTTGGACTTCGTTAAATATAAAGTCTTACAATCATTCTGGTGTATGTGACGAAATCAAAATGTGCGTTTAAGAGCCTGTATTTCTGCATTATACATTGCTACTTAAGTACTGACATCTTTTCAGTATCCGTATAAAACTAAAGTAGCCAGATACGCTTCGACCAAGTATTTATTAATTATAAGGTCATCTTAACAAATCACTGTCTATTTATTGCTTTCTAAAAAATGTATATACATAATTTCAGAACGAAGCCAATTTGGTTTACGACGCGAAATGGGAAGAGTCTACAAGGCGGAAAGGTGTTATGCTTTTGGAACAGTTAGATACAGAATTAAAAAATCACAAGGCAAATTCAATTAAAGAAAGCATACGGTATTTTAAAAGTGATAATTTCGTTTTTATTGTTATTAAAAACAATTTTTTCAACTCGACCAATAAGGTTATGAGTTTTCATTGACCGAATTGGTTAGGGTATCTATTACTTATTTATGCACTACTACCTTCCACCTTAACTCCTATTTTGGGCTGACATAGAAGTATATCGAAGAAAAGCTAGGGGCAACCGAACCAAGATGCAGCATCCATTCATGAGGGCGTTGGCTACTGAACTTAGCCATGTAGGTAGCTGAAGACTTCTTGGTTGGTTTATGCGCGATCATAGTGATCAACAGTTAAAGACGTTGGGTAACATCGTTCAGGATCAGTCACAATGACCCAGATCCATCCACCCTTTATCTTTCATTGTATTTTGAATTTTAAAACTTTCGTACACTATCTGTTTTCCACGAATTCATTTTTCTCAAATCATATTGTCTGTGTTCATTGTTTTCTAGTACCATTTTTATTGTCACTACTCTGGCATTTGTCTTAATTCCATCTTGCCGTACTGATATGGTATAATAAGTAGGGGCATTGCACATATTTGTGCCAGGCTCTACATTTCATATGACAGACTAACCAGGTGTTTCAGTTGATGTTGTTCAAAGTCAGTCATGCGATCGTTAATGTACCTACTTTCATTTAACAAACTATCTTGATGATACTAATAACAGTAATCCATCTACGGCTTCATTTTATATTTTTTAAAATCTATTATCACTTTATGAAGTGTTGATTCTCTTGGTCTTAAATTATTATTTTACTTGTTATTAAAATGAATAAAACAAATCAGCATACTTATAATTGTATCACACATCTCATGAGACATGAAATCACTGTTCAGTATCATATAAATTAAATTGAGTTATCCTAGGCGTATATGTCCCTTTTTGATAAAGCAAATGTCAATTTTGATGTTCCAATTTGTTCATTAATCATCATACATAGGTGTTCTCATAAAACGTTTAAAAAGAACTTAAAAGAATAAATTTATTGTGGACTATGATCTTTCTTATTTATATTTTTACTCAATTCTGGTTTATCTATACAAGATAACAGGAAGTGATATCGAATAAACTAACGAAATTTCATTAGCGCAACATTAAATTAGTTTTAAATAAATAATATATTTGTAGTATCCCAATGAATCGAAAATTAAGCTTTCTGACGTTTCGTGACTTAGTGTAAGTCAATTCTTCAGAGAATAAATAACCAAATTAAAATTAATCCAAGTTTAAATAGTACAACGAAACAATAAAAATAATATTTGATCAAAATTAGTTTGTTTCTAACCATCACATAAATGGTCAGTGAAATTTCGGTAAATAATTAATTATTGTTGTATGTTATGTTTAACATTTTATCGTCAATGTTTTTATCAAAACATTGTTTATAATTATTTAAAAAGAATGATGTGTGGAACTAACCGATACATATTATTGAATTTAAGGTTTTGTATTTGATGGTGAGAGATATTTTCACTAAAAGCTAGTGCCACATCATATGGGTCTTAATGGTTCCATATTGTGCTGATGTGGTCTGGTAGCTTAAACAGATTCATTTATGTGCCTCAGGTTCTATGGTGTTTATGATTGACTGACTGTTTTTGAATATTTTCATGTCATTTCACTTGATGTTATCATAATTTTTTTGTTTTAACTTTTATTACGAAAATAGTCGTGGTTCTGATGATCTTGGTGATTTGTATTTACAGTTAGGACAATTGAGCAATGCGAATAAATGTTTTGCTCGTTCCCGAGATTATTGTACATCTCAACAACAAGAACTGACTATGTGTTTAAATGTTATTAAGGTAAATCAGTGGTTTTTATTACTGTATAGGTATATTTGCGTATGTACGTGTTGTATTCATAATTGAACTTCGGATAATTATAAAGAACCTTATATCTTCACTTTGTAATCTTGTTAGTTTTAATGGAATGTATATGTATCAAAGGTCAGTAGAACCGTTTCTCAGTAGTTTGGTAATGAATCACTAGCTATCGAACTTGACAGTCTTTTTGCACCGTCTACCTTTACTTGATAAATTTTTATTTTATATTATATAGAGTTTTATACTATTATTGAGCTAAATTCATTTTTTAATGTTTAAAAGTTATGCTACTTCTGTGAATGAAAAGATTTTGATATATTGTACTTTACAATTTAAGCTTAATTGCTTACTACTTGATTACACTAACCATGTACTTCGTACAAACTATAGAAAAATCCGTTGACTAATTTCAAAATATCCAATAACTCTAATGGACTAGTGGCTAAATCACTTCCATGCTGTTTTTGTGATGGGATAAATGCTGTCCGTAGTTTCAAGAATAACAAATTTCTACCCTTTAATAACTCGATATGCTTTCTCGCGATTTACATCTGTATAGTCAGTCACAACATGGAACCTGGTATGTATAAAATTGTTTCAAGTTGCCCATCAGCATAGATAAATGAAATTGTCAGATCAAATCCCAGAATAGTAGATATAGTAACGGAATAAGTGGTGATTAAAAGAATTATTGAGCAAAGATATGATTCAAGAAGATACAAATGAGTGAAATAAGAACACACGAACGGTTACGTGGAATTCAGGAGCCGTTGCAAACAATTTTGAGTCATGTCACTCAAAGTCTGTAACCAGTGGTTACGATAATCACGCGAACACCAATCAGATAGTTTACACCTATTAACATCTTGCTCATCATACGTTCCACACATATTTATACAGCGTTACTGCGATGTTATTATTACTCTCTTCTCACGATGTTCCCAACAAGTGAGGTAAGTTAGTCGATGATGAAGGATCATAAGGATAATAATTCAAATGGGTAGGAAATGTATGACACATGCCAAGCCATTGCCTGGTTCACCATATCAGGTTAGCTAAATCACGGGTAGATTTGAGAGTTGTAGAAGGTGAACAAATCATTTACTTGTGGCTTTAATGTTACTTTTCTCTCGATCACTTCTGTAGTTATTATTTGGGTTTAGATTTTTAATGCAGTACACTGATATACTTACAAAACACTTCGTATTTCTGTAAATATACTTTCATCATTCATAACTCAAAACTACCTTATTGAATCAATGTGAAATTGGTCAAAATACTGACCAAGTTGTTTCTACGGAATAAGTGTCGTTTAGAATTTGAAAGAAAGGCGTAGGCGATTCGAAACAAACGCAATATTCTGAATTCTTTTGTAAAAAAAATATGCGCAATCAGTTAGTGAATAGTTAAAGACCTGTTGTTTATATATGCTTGTCACTGAACGAGGTAGAAACCCTATATCACAACATTTTTAGGAAAATATAATATTTTACATGTTTACATTTTAAAAACGGTGCAAATTCATTCACTTTTCATCAGTGTTTGTTGGAAATTAGATCTGAATAAATATATCCAATCTGATTTTCAAAATATTAGGTGGCTATATTTCAACGTGCTTGGTCTCATGTTAGTGCACATGTTACTCGAGCCAGCAGTTTATCTGAACTACGTGATACTGCCCCATTATTAGGTGCAAATGCAGCCGAATTAAATGCTCAACAACGAAGCCGTACTGAAGCCCTAGCTCGTTTGGGTACAACGCGTACAACAACTGCTGGCACATCCGGTGAATCTTCCACACGTGGCTCTTCTAGTTTAATAGACCCTTCAAGCCGCATTTCATCTCGACACCCTGGTGATAGTATTGGAGGTCATATTCCTACATCAGGTGGTCAAAGTTATCGTGATGCCTTAGCTCAAGCCCGAACTCAGCTAGCTATTGCTGCTGGACTAGTTGAATTAGCTTCTCGTAACTACAGAGGTGCTGCAATGAATTTCCTTCAAGTAAGTTATTTCGTTTTAATGGTTTACTCCTGTGTGATATAATTTTTAGGTTAGTATTAGCTGTAAAATACTACGTTGATACTTCTTTATTAAGCCTACTTATATTTCTTGTGATCTAATGGCTTTGTTTTTTAATTGATTCTCTTCAAAGCTTTGTTGTATCAATATGTATACTTACATTCCCACTGTGACTGTATCTTGTTAGGTAAATAGGGGCTTTTTATTTAGTTGAGATACAATATCAAACATTTCACTTGTCCTTGTAAGTTATTGTACAAACTGTAATTATAATTAGAGTCCATTATTCATATTTTATCTCAATTTCGAATATGAACACCAGGTGATTTTCTAGATGTGTCGTTGCTTGTTTATTTTTCCGGGTTAAGAAGATTCTAACTAATTCAGGTACTGCTATCTCGTACAACTACTTATCCTATCCTTTTCTATTAGCTCGACTTTAATATAATAAAGTGTTATAACGGATTGTTCAGACTATTGATGATAGTCAATAAAGACTAAATCAACAGACTCAAATATCAGACTAAGAACCAGATATAAGCCGAAACGATCATTTATAAAAACACAATACTAAGCTTTTAATGAGTAACATATGCAGTAATATATGATATTCTACAATATATACTATAGCCGGTTAGTTGGTGACTAGTTACGACTTGTTTTCACCAGAAATATTATTAAGTTTACTCAGAAAACAAAAGAAAACCTTTAACCCTTTAACTAGTCGTTAATAACGAACAGATAAATGGATCAAATAACATATTTTACTTCAGACAGTGATCTGTTTATCCAATTCGCCCATAGGAATGAAAGCCAATAAAATAAGAAAAGAATATATACACAGAGCTTCAAGGTATTTTAAAGCTTCATATATATACCATATTATTATTATATTCGATAGGGGTGGACCATACAAACTACAATAGCTAGTTTTGTATCTATCCTCATAAAATACTAAGTCTATTTCGTTTTGATGATCACTGAGTCCATATTCATTACTATCTTCAAGATTCTCCAAGTTTGTAACCTCATATTAATAAAAAAATTATTTTTATTTTCTTAGCTATACGCATATCGCGAAATACGATTGCTAATTTAGATACGCTAACTTATACGACCAAACTAATGATGCAAGCACCAGTACGGACAGCCTAAAGTTCCGATTGGTCCTTTTCCCCCATAGCCCTGTTTGTTAAGTTCAGAACGCTAATCTCAGCTTTGGCTGTCCGGATCATATATTTCAAACCTAATTGGTTTATATACAAACAAATCAAACACCATAAAATAGAAAATAACATTTGTACAAGATCAAACCAAAAGTAGCCGTGATTGGGAGAAACTGTGACTAATAGATTGAGAATGACTTGAGAATAGTAAATCATATAACCAATAAGTCAAATAAAAGCTTATAATGCAAGGAATATGAAGATACATATAATACAGTTACTTACTAATCATACAATAAGAATATTCGTATAATATTAGCCCATAAATAATTCCTAACGGTTATCATTCATTTATTCTCGTCCGCATATAACAGTTATTTAATACTCTTTTACTTAAATATGCTTCCAGATTTATTGTGATGTAACCCTGTGAAGTAGGATTTGGATTCATGATCACTTAGTTGTAAATGAAATAATGAACACCATGCATTTTTATATAATTCAAGTATGTATAAGACTGGTTGTTACTATCTTTTCTTCTCTAGCCATATTTCAAAAAGAAGATACCTGAATCATTTTGTAAATGTATTTATACATTAAATAGCATATTTTACCAAAGCCTCTATTATATTAATCCTTCAATTGTTGTCGATGCTAACTGGTTAAAAAGCATTTGACTTTCAACAGTTAAGTTGATTGTTCGAATTTCGTTTGTTACCTACTTCGAAGTTGATCAGTTTGAGTAATATTATTAGATCTGTATCATGCAAACAGATATGTATCGCTCCCAACCGAGTAGTATTGGGAAAAGTTTGTGACAGTAATAATACTTCTATCATAGTTTTTCTTCATTTTGGTCCAAAATATCGATTTCTCAAACCTTTCTGACTTTTTACTCGTTCATAAGCATATTATACCTCTTCTTTATCATTCCAGGTTAATCATGATCATTGTGAATCACCTACTAGTCGGATTGTAACTATATCAGATTTAGCATTTTTCATTACATTATGCAGTTTGGCTACATTTGAACGTACTGAATTAGCAACATTAGTTCTTGGGAATGCATCGTTGAGATTACTTTTGGAAGCAGAACCTGCTTGTCGTGACATGTTACAGTCGTTCCATCAAGCAGATTACGCATCTTGTTTGGGGCGATTAAATAAACTACGAAATATTCTACGGTTAGATATATTTTTGTCTGATCATGTATCTGCATTATGTCGAGAGATTCGATCACGTGCACTTTGTCAGGTTAGTGTTTATTGTATTTGAATAACCTACGTTCGAATTTTATTCACAGATGCAATGAGAGTAACTATCATGCTACAGTGAATGATTCCTAAAATAATGACTCAATATCGGAGCCTCACATCAGTTAATTCGTTATTAAGTGTTGAAGCCCACTGTAATAGAAGTATGCAAAATACCAGTCGCTGATATTAGTTCAATAATTAAACTGCTCGTTATGGAGTATAACAATAGAGGATTCTATGTTCAGATAGGTTATAGTTCTCAATTTCTAACTTTCCTAGAGCAGAGCTGGATGTGTTCGCTCAGTAATACATGAAATATCCAGTATATCAAAATAGGTTAATACGTCACCATTTTTTATATGAGTTTTGACTGGGAGATTTTTTGCAAGATTTAAGTTGATAATCATTATATAATCTGTAGGAGACAATATATTAAACTTTCATTCCTTATCAACTACACGTATTTATTAAGATAATTTTTCTATCAAGTACTTCATTTACCTTCGATAGCTCATTACTGTAATCAATTCTTTGCACAAAGTGCACAATATTGTTAGAAAAAAATTCCTCCCTGTTCATTATATGTTTTCAGATATTTGGAAGTATCCATCAAAGCAGGTTTTTTAATAGTAATTATCTACCATTCATCGGTGGTAAAGTTTTTAGCCACTTGATTTGGACCTATAAGTGTTTTTATCATCACATGAATTAAACTGTTATCACTTCTTGTTTATCCAAAGCGGAAAAAGGTGAAAAAGTATACAAATCAACTTGAATTTTGCAGTGTTTGTCATTATAATAGACTGTAAGCCTATAAAAGCGCGCTTGTGTACACATGATATGCTTAATACATTTTAAAAAAAAGTTAAAATAGGAAATTTTATTACAAGATATTTATACAATTGAAAAATAGATGAACAAAAGCTTGGATCGATCAGATTGTCGTCGATATTCCTCAAAAATAATTTCATTTGAATAACCTAGATATGAATATCAGTGATCTTAACCGATTTCTCTCGAATAACTTAGATAACGTATTTCACTCGTTAGTTGTTAGCATAGAAAGAAGAACTCAAATAATTTTTACTTAATCGCATAGCATGATAATTAATACTTTCCTTTGTCATTACGTCAGGAAGGTCAAAAGTATTGTCTGTCAGATTCAGATCAAATAGATGTCTACGCCTCCAAATAATTTCAGACCTCAAACTAGAGATATTTAAAGTGATGATGCTTTCTTAAGGTCGTATTTTTCATCGAGAACTTACATCAACTGGGTATATGTCTTTGAAACTAGAGGGCACTAAACATCTGTCTGTTGCTACGACGATCCCAACGTAGAGCGAACCTAAGACCTTAAGGTCTCGAGATAAACATGATATCAATGAGCCACCATGTTTCACACATTTCCAAGTTCATCCAGCTGGCGTCATTCATATATTTGTCTCACTGTATATTTTAAATTCCACCATTGATAGTTCCTCATGAGAACTTCAGAAATTCTCCTGTAATTAGTTGTTAATGTTTAATATTAGTTTGAAAGATTTGTTGCCTCATGGATTTCTAGTGAATCTTCTTACCTAAGATAAATTCAGGGTGATGAATACTAATTTTAAACACTTAAACATCACGTTTCGCTAGACCGAAATTTCTCTTACGTTTAATATTTGCAATGCTGTGCCATTGGTATTTTACAATGGGACTATATGCTATCATGACTGGAAAGGCTTCAACTCATTACTCATGTTTCATAAGCCCTAGCATGAATCGACGAAGTTATTGACTACTGAAATGAGCAATGTTGGTAGGCGCAGAATACTTGATTGGGTTACGTGCGATCATGGTAAACAATGTTTGGAGATGTTGGGTGACGTGACTCAAAATTGGTCACAATGGCAATTTTGAGTTCTTTCTTTCCCGAATCATATTGTTTGTGTCTAATGTTTCCTACTGCCGCTAATATTTTACTACTTGTATTATTCTGGTATTTTTCGATAATTTCATCTGTGTTGATATTGTAGGAGATCTGGAACCGATAAACATGTTATTTATGACTGATTAATATATAATTACTATGTTTTATTCATTTGTTTCCATAAATAAAACAGAACCATTAACGTTAGTGAACAATATCAGTCTCTGCTCCATTCATTTATCGATTTGTTTGTTCTCTTTTTATATTTGGATTAATCTGTTCCAGTATTTCAGTCCGTATTCATCAGCTGATTTAAATTTGATGGCTAAAGCATTCGATACAAATGTAGCTAATCTAGAAAATGAATTAGCAGTACTTATCCAAGATGGAAGTATTAAAGCTCGTATTGATTCACATAAACAGGTAATCTTATTATTTTGTGTTGTATTGTTGTGATTTAAAAAAAATCTAATAGATAGTGTTTATTAAATTGTGTAAGTGATCAGTAGTGGTAGAGTGGTTGTTTCAGTAGTCTAACCGATCCCCAAATGATTTAGGAAATAAATTTCCAACCCTTTGTGATTAATATTTTGTTAAAGAATAGGTCAAGTGGTATGGTTAGATATAACAACGACAACATTTTCACCTATGCACAGGAAAGCAAGTTTTTTTTTAAAATCCAATATGATTCTTTTTAGTCAAGTAGTATTCATTATTTTTAAAATTCGTTATATACTGTATTGTATTGTAAGCAAAGATGGATAGTGGCTAGCAGTGGAATCCAGGACGCGCGTTTCGTCCTGTTTGGGACTCGTTAGCTGGATGTACCTGCATCGATATCGAGGCATACGCACAGTATGCACATATGCCAATAAGAGACTGATCAATTTCAGTCCTAAAACATCAATGGGAAGATTCAAGTAAAACAATATCAAGTGAATGTATTGTATTGTGTTTTAAATATTAATTCTGCTAGTTCTGTAATTCTGTATATTTAGAATGTTTTGTGAATAAAATATCCTGATTGAAAGCATCACTAACGCTATGTCAATAATAACTGTGAAAATAATTGTATTGTTAGTTGAATAAAAGTTAAATTTTGTATTATTAATCACTTATAGAAATACATACATACATAGACATAATTCTTTACTGATTCTTAGTGTCACTTTCCTTCTTATCCATAATTGATACATAGCTTCTTCGTGTTCTTGACGTGGATCAGCGATGTCTAACGTTTGCTCGAGCTGTACGACTTGTTGATGAGTATAAAAATCGTACACATTCACTGATACTTCGAATGGCATTAGCACGTCAGAAGCTTACTGTTAAGGTAATAATTCTTTTTTTAACTGGTATACCATGATTCTATCTGACTGTATAAAATGTAGTTGACGAGTAAATTTTTCTCTCATCACTTATTCAGGTATTTTCTGTGCTGTTTTGTTCCATTAAACTACGACCATGTTCTCGAGGGTTGTTTTTAGTGGAGTTATTTTAATATCCAACAACGATTTGTTTGACAGCCTAAATATTCACCTACCGACAATATCAGTTTTTTAAAACCGACATATGAACAATATAGAATCTATCCACCCCAATTTTAGTTAAAATTGGTAATCGAGAAAGTGTTTGGGCATATATAATACGTTTTATAAACACTTCAGTCAACTAGAGTTCACAATCTGATAAACATATTTCGTACCTTTATATTAGTATTCTTGTCTAACATTTTCATTTCCTACTCGGGAGTCTCACCATATTCATGAATTGTTCCGAAAAAATACATGATCAAATAGGTACAAGCCTCATAATTTCCTAAATATACAGTTCATACTCTTAACTTTACGGTTGTTCAATTGTTCAAGTTTAATTAAGCTGCTTAAATTCAAATAATATCGGTTCAGCATTCTCATTTGAAAGTTACTTGTTTTAATACGTATGTTGAACGATCTAAAAGCATGTCAAATTTGACAGAAACGAATGAATAACACGAAGTGGCGTCTCTTAACTGACTGTTTGTTCTGATATCACTCTCATTGCCTTTTTAAGCCATACAATTTAAAAGTCATCCATGTAAAATTATATTCGGAAGTTGATTCCACTTCTCTAGACACATGTATGCTGTGATGTTTATAATTATTTGACATAAACAATGTATCGTTTCATTTCGATCATTAAATACTACTAGTCTAAAATTGTCTATCAATAATTGTCAAATTATTATTATTCATCTTATTACTATAGGGCTTTTGTAGAAATTGTCAAGTTTCATAGTTTACGTTATGGATTGCTTTGAGTTATAAAACCAAAAAGCACTGAGCAGTTACTGTGCCCTAGTATGAAACTCCTCACGTGTACGCATTCACGGCTCGGGCGCCAGTCCAGTGATCTAAAGAATAGTCGCTCGTCTCATGACGTTTAGATCCTGTGTTCGGTATCCAGTGGAGTTGTGAATACGCACAGTTGAGTAGTCCTTTGCTAAGACGAGGCAGCTGTCCAGTACTTCGTGTTTTTTTTCAAACTAAGATCAGTCCCTAATTTGAATTACTATCCCTTTAATCATATACTTGGTTGTGCAGTTTTTGTCTTCCTTCAGGGTGTATATATTCTTTTTTTCATAATCTGCGGTTTTACATCCAAGCTTTTAATTTTAAAAATATGTTTTACTTTTTCTTTTCTAGTCGACCAGAGATGATATTGATCCAATGTATCATTACATGTCATAAAATAATCAGTCTTTGATTAATAATGATAGCTGCTTATAAAATAATCATAGTAGTATGGTATTATGAAGCTATTCAAATTTCTGTGATGGGTCAAAACTGTCTGAGAACTTTCAATTAATGGAAGAGAACACACACCAACCTGCTTTTACAACAGATTTACAATATCCTCCATATTTGAAAAAGACTGTAGAAATGTTCTGTTTTTCTCACATAGAACTGTTAATTTACGCCTAAACAGAAATGCTTACTGCTTCTACCATAAGTCATCCTCTCTTACTTCAGTGACACGTAACTAATTCATTTGTACTTATTTTTCACGTTGAATATTTTTTAAAGCTATCAACTTACCCCCTCCCGTCACAATTCTGTTGGTCCCCAGTTTTCATGTTCACGAACTATCAAATGTACACAACTCCTGCACACCAAGTCGAAATACTATCCTTACTTGAAAGCTTATGATCGGTATAGTATTATTTGTCGATATTTGATTTTTAGGTTTTATTATTGTATAAAATGTTGGTGGAAATTTCGACTGCTTTATCACTTAGCTTCTGCAGTTTTCATATGTGAAATGATGTTTGTTTTTGTGTTAGCACTTCTCTGTTAGGTTCGTCATCTAGAAGTAAGAGGTGATATTTGATTGGAACTTTTAACTCGTGATCACCGGCATATTTTAGTAGCATGTAATTTGATCTGTTGTATATCTCTTTTTGAAGTTGAATATCAAGATAAACTAAGTGGAATTGAAACTACCTATGGTGTATCTTTTTAGATGTTGAATATATATATGCCTGGACAATTTCCTGGGACCTATTTCATAATGGTATCTGAACTCACGTCAACGGGGAGAGTCCCAGTTCTATATTTATGGAAGAACTAATGTTATTGTTATCAGAACATGATATTGATACAAATAGGAGCAGTAACAGAAATTACAGGGTTAGTAAACACTAAAAGGCATCAGCAGTTTAGATTTGAACGGTTGGTGAAGAAAGATAAGTAGTAGTTAGACTTCAGCACGAAAACGGATTTACCCATCGTTTGTGGAGACTGTGTCTAGTAACATTATCTATGACGGGTGGTAGTAATTCGTTGTTTGTGTCAATTTTAACTACGCGGCACATCCAATTCGATTAATTTCTGAAACCCAATAACAGTGTTTAAATTCATATTTTCGCTTATTATGCTAGAACAAAACGTATAACCCAGTTGACCGAACTGAAGTAAATAAATCAGGCTAAAGATAACTGAAGTTGGATATCTAAAGCACTTATTAACACCACGTCGGAAGGCTTACGATAGCGGACATATCACTGAACTAACTGTTATCATAACACTTGGTTATTAGTTTATTTGGTTTCGTGCTATTTCCTGCTGTCCACTGTCCAACCAAGGTCTGGATAAAGTAATGTTGTAACACATTTTCAATGGAATCCGTTTGACTAAACTAGCATCTAGTCTTAGTTTTCGTAGTCATTCGACTAATGGCCAGTGAACCAGCAGATGCATCGACCGAACCATCTACTTTTCGCCAGAACGCAAACATAATATACTGTTCTTTTACTTACTGTAAAGGTTGTATGTAAATTTTCTTTGAGACTTACGGGGTTATTTGACTTTGAAGAGATTCCTAAACAAATATGCTACGTATTCATATCACCATTTAAAGTCATAATGAGCGGTTTGCGCAAATGATGTACGTCTACTGGCCGTCTTCCCAAATGAGACTGGCAGAACATCTGGCTGTTTATTAAACCGTGAGCACACAATGTAGCAGTCGAGTTCGTCATTTTACGATTGTGGCTATCAAGAATGGAAAATCTGCCTTGTTATTCTAAAATACCGCTTGTTTACAATGAAACTACCGAATCAGTAGTGTTGTATTTGGATGAAAGCTGTAGACAAAATAAGTCTATGTAGTTCAGAATCTGAAAGGAATAACGTGGTTGAAAAGTGTATTTTACTCAACAAGTCACTTCCCAACCCGATATCCGAAGTTGTCTGTTATAATAAACTGGTAAAAGATCATGAGTAGATAGGAGTAAATGCAGACCAGTGAAAACATTGGTTGTTACACTGGACAGCATAGACTTTAGTGAGATTCATCGGGTTAAAGTTACCACTTAAAATGCTCTGAGGGATAATTCTTAAAATTGATCACTGGTGAAATTTATATATTTATCTACTGATAGATCTTAGCTATTGTATTGTCGTACATCCATTTTCACCGTCTACTAATACCATCGTTTATTTTGATTGTTCTCTGTCTTTGTTGCTTTTGCGATTGTGTAATGCGAAAACTTGAGATGTTGTATTTTACATACGGTTCCATGTTGTGTCGATATCGTATAAATGCTTTTTTCAAGGTTATATGGGAGAAATGCAACCTATTTAGTCAATTATGGTTGATCTGCAGGTATATGGTTACTGCTAACCTTGACTGATGGTCACTTTTTCAGATATTATGAAAGGTTAACAAGTGTAAACTGTTATTTTTAGTCAGTTCCCGAATGATATTATGTACAAGTGCGATGAGAAACTCTAGAATTTAACAACATTCGTTTTAGTGTATGTGTTATGAATCTAAACTCGGCTAGTTGTCACGTGATTTATTCGCCAATCAAAATACGACTTATTCAATCTTAGCACTGTGTCTTTATTGGTCCTTGTCCTCCTAACCCTGTCGGTTGAGTCCAGAACACCAATACCTGCTCTCACTATACGAATCATTTATTTCAAACATACCTGATTTATATACAAGCCAAACGGATCACATCATACCGTAAAATAGAAAATAACATTTGTACATAATCAAGCCCAAAAGTGGCTGTGACTTTGGCAGACGGTAATTAATAATGTGAACATAACTTGAGAACAGTATATCGTATAATAATAATCTATAGATCGAAATAAAGCTTATAATAAGAGGAAGATAGATATACATAATCCAGTTACTGAATAGTTATACAATAAGAATATATATATAATATCAGTTCATTAACAGGTCTCAGGAATTATTTGTAGGTTAATCTTCACTAAGATATAACAGTATATACTGTCGAGATTGGTCACAAACTACACTAAAACAACTCGTCGGTGCTCATGTGTTTCCAACAATATTCCAGCTGATACGAATCATAATGATATCTGTCACTTTTATGCACAGTCGTGCTAAAATGTATGTGGTACCTAGAGATTCAACTAAAATGGGTAACGTTACGCTATTGTCAAAAATTTTTAACTTGTGGGTTATATCTGACATTTAAATGGAGGTCAAGACAACTGTAGATTGATTGGTACTGGTTTGTTCTTACCAAAGTTACTCAGTTTCAAATACGGTCTACTATTTCAGATTATATTTAAATAAATACAAGCGACTCAGGAAATATAAATGTTTTTAAGCTAAGTGAAGACTGTACAGTGAAGAGAATTTTCTTTTCTATGTCATCATTTACCTTATCTGCAAAATCGTACTTATGATTATTCTTTACATGCGATTGTATGTAATGGAATAGAGACGCACTCGATCAGCACCTCTTTTGCAGAATCAGTATTATTGACCACTCATTCTTTATTCTCGTTAAGTGGACGATAGTCTTTTACAACTTTCCTGCAAATTATTATCTATTATGTTTAAGTTTTACGCAACTTATAACCTGGCTTACGTGTGCATCGATTCAAGTTTCCACACATCATTAGGACAGCGAGATGAAATTGTCAAATCAAATCCCATAATCGTAGAGGTGGTAATAGTAATAGAATAGACTAAGCATCAGAAATACTATTCAGGAAAAAAGTGATATAGAAACTTGGAAGCTTGGGGAAACTGTGGAGTAAATGAATCTGTGCCAATGCGAACTACTTTGAGACATGTCACTCAAAATCTCTAACAATTTTCTATGACTGCCTCACGAGCCTTCTTGACTTAAAATCTACAACTTTCCAGCCGTCGATAACTTTGGTAAGTGGTGCAACACTCATTTTATTATTAAGTTCCATATCCGATAATTTGAAAATGTCCAGTTTATTTTAATGAATTTGTTAAATTACGCTATTATCCCTCTGTTTTATTATAGGTTATCGTATGTAAAATTTGTTATAAACAATTGTACACATTAAGTAAATAACATCATTAAAATGAATTCTTTTTTCACTGAACCATTTCTATTTCTTGTTATAACACTAATGGGTTTCTTTTCTTGTTTTAGGTGTCGTGTTTAGTTACAAACTTAGATATATTTTAAAAAGATATATTACAAATCTAAGTATATACATATCGGCAAAAATGATTGAAGTATTTTAGATGTTTTAGTTCATAAGAGGTTTTCTGTTAATTGGAAAATATCGTATGTTAAAAAAGTGATTGGAATCCAGTGACATTTATGATAGTTAATATATTTATTTGCTTTTATCTTTTTGGACTCGGGAACTTCAACATAACAGTAAAATATGACGAAAAGCTTGTCAAAATATAGATTACTATTAAGATATACATTTTAAATAGTGTACACGTATTCTTATTCTTTTTTGAAATATTTACATCCTGTAATTATTATCAACAGCATTTCCAGACAATTATGCCTAAATTTCCACCACATAGCATGTATAAAATGTTTTTAATATCATAGGTAATTTCAAAACCAAAACCTTCACCAACAGCTACATGCCATGCTGCTCCGTATTTTTTATCCATAGTTTCTTTTACGAAACGAGCTGCTGCCTTAATAATTAAGTAGATGAAGGTAGGAATTAAAATTGTATAAACATTGAAAAGAAAAGTAGCAGATAAATTAAAAATATTTAAATTTTTGAGGTTAGCTCACTCAATTTTTTAATGGCTATAAATCAAATTTATTTTAGAACTCTTCTACCCTCTCAGTTCAGCATAACATATTTGTTTAGTTATACTATGGCAAAATGGAGAATTTTACTTATACTTCAATCTAAAACTTTTGGTCTGGCAGGAACAAAACGATGTTGGGGATCGAAGAACTTAAAAG